AGGATTCAGCTTTTTACCACTAAGACTGCTAGGCCGAATTCGGCACTACACCCCGGTCGGTAGGTATATAAGAAGGAAGTAGTAAATCCAACTCTAGTAGTTAAGATAGCAAATACAGAGGCATTCCCAAAACAATAGTAGTCTACCTACTAAATTAACTACTGTTATAGGGCCTAGACCCTGTAATTACTGCTAGTAGCTAAGCAATAGTACTATACATTACTTCCTTAAAGTGCATTGTAAGCCCTGTCAGTACGTATACTATAGGGCCTCACCCACCTAAATCTCAATAAAATTGTATGCCTAGCTTTCCTCTATCTGTACTACTTCCGGTTATTTTATATATATTATTATTGATAGGGTGAAAGGGCTAGCTATCTTCCCTTCTAACTAGGTATATTATCGGTATTTTCAACCTAACTACTACTTAAGCTATAATAATATTCTTAATAATAGCGATAACATCGTTAATATCTATATTAGCTGGGTTTATTATATCGGACTTGACCGCTGGTAGTAGCTATATATGAGCAATAACTATAACGAGCTTTGCTTGTAGATCTAGGAAGTATATCGACTATATATGCCGGCCTTACTCTCGGTAGATCTAATACTACTATAAACTTCTACCGAGCTGATTCTATTAGTTGAACCCGTTTATATTACCGAGAGTAGAGTATATTCGCACCTTCAAGTTTATATCGACCGGTACTTTAAGGAAGAATACTATAACCCTAGTTAGAAGCTACTATAGTAATGAGGTAATAAAACTGTACTAGGCCCCTTTCCTAAATATAACTTACCGGCCTTCTAATATAATCGACTAGCCGATAAATACTATTTTATATATCGAATGATTATAGGGGAGGCGGTTATTCTAATCTACTATATATACTCTATTTATACCGAACTGGAACTCGAGTAGTAGGGGTATAAACACTTCGAGTATAATTGGGATTAGTAATGTAAAGGAAATCTTTATATAATTTCTTTTCTATACCTTAACTTTATCGACAGCTTCGGTATATTCAGTAATTTATACTATATATTGCTAGGTTTCTACTTTATACCGGCCGGTCTATTAGAGAAGGAGAGGATATAGCTAGGAAGTATTTTCCCTATTATTTTCGGGTTAGCCTTATATTCTAATATATATCCCCTAGCTATACTAATACTATTAAAGGCTATATATATCCAACTTCAACGATATTATTAAAGTGCTAAAGACTATAAACATCCTTGATACTGGAATAATAATAGAAATTAATAGGGAATAGGTCTAACTTTGTACGTTTCTAATATATTATATTAGCGATATACTGTAATAGGCTGAGAATTCCGGCTTTAAGGGCCTCTAGGTATATAAGTTCTATCGGTACTACTTTGTATTATTAGGCTAGAAAGCTGGTAACCCGGATATTATAATTAAATTCGATATTACTATTAACAGCCGACTTTATATCTAAATGTTAGAGATATAGAAGATGTTTGAAGCTAACTTAAGAAACGCTTCGGAATATAAGTAGTACTATTTGCAATAGAGTATAGCCGAACAGTTACCAGCCCTATATAAAATTTCCCTAACATTTAACCTAATTCTTTCAAGGCCGGTTAATACTATATACTCGGAATATAATGGTTTCAGTAACCTTATATACTTCCTACTCTAGGACAGTATTCTTACTAAGTTAGTATAAATAGAGTATACTATCTAGCTTTGCTTATACCTATTCCCCCTAGGCTAGTTACAATTAATATTACCGATCTATTATCTAGCTAGCTATAAGATGTCCAATTACACCTAATAGGTTGTGATTATCCCTATATTGTTGCTTAGCTAGCTTAAGCTAAGTTATATTAAACCCCGCTTCTTTAAAGAAGCTGAAAAAGTTACTAATAGAAACCTAGTTAATATAGTCATTGAAACAACAGCTATAATTGTAAAGTCAACCACCGTCCTTATAGGAAGTTATATATTGCTAGAGGACCGAAGGAATATAGACTAGATTATCTACTCTATATGGTTTCTCTTTAACCAATTATATATCTTTATAGTAGTTACTTCCTTTAGCTTAGGTACTGGTATATCTGCTGCTAGAATACCTAGCCTACTACCTATTGAAACTATTATAGATAATACCGATAATATAGAGTCCGGTTGATCTTTATAGTATATAAATAATACTCTATAGCCGAATATTTATAGAGGCATTCATTTTCCGGCCTTTATAGAAGAGTATATACTGCCCGTTAATTGTAATACTCTAATAGATAAGAACCTATACTAGTAAGTTAATAGGAAGTAATAATCGGTACTAGGATAGTTATTTAGTAAACTAATAATAGACAGTTATTTTAAGATATAGGTATATAAAACCAATTACTTAAATATTAAAAAGGTCCTCCTAATAAAAGTTAACTTCTAAGAAACGATCTATCTACTATTATATAATATATTTAAGTACGATAATCCAGAGCTTACTAAGGAGATAATTAACCTTTACTAGTAGTGTCCTAGCCTCTTTAACTGTATTTTATCTTATATTAACTAGAATGAACTTAAAGCTTTAAATATAGACTATAAGATTGATATCGACCAGTCAGCAGATAAAACCCACCTTTAACCATTTATAATTAATTAGGTTCTATTAAATGAGCTTACTATTCTATATCTAGCTAATAATAGTAGTTAGCTTCCTTATTATTTAGAAGATATAATAATAACTTCGATATAGTATATATATATAAAGCTCGTATATAAATATAATTATAGTAGGCTGGTATAATATCTAATATTCTTTGAGAATAAGGTAATTTAATAGTATAGGAAGTTCGGATTTACTAATAGATATATATAATACCTATATCTTATATATTATCGCTCCTTTTCTATTCTATTATAGCAACTCCTATATACTCGCTCTAAGTAGGCCGGCTAGGGATCTATTTATCCCGATTAACAGCTATAATAACGAGCTGGAGATCTAAGACTCTATCCCGGTAAGTATTGGACTAGAGCCATTCCAGCTCTTAGCAGTTGAATTACAGTATGTCCGCCGATAAGCCTGTTTAAGTAAGTAGGGGAGGAAGTTCGAAGCTAGAAAGCTATAATTGTACCAGCCGAAATACCGGCGATCCAGTCTCTCGGATATTCGATTATCAATTTCTCGACCAGTTTATTCATTTATATTACGATTTTCGAGATATATTTTCGCTTATTAATTAGCGATTAAAGCAACCGCTTTTCACCTATATATACTGATATACTGTTGAAATTTTATATATTAAACTCGAGCAATATATATTGCTATATTTACTACTAAAATCGATACCCAAATACTTAATTATAGATATCTTAATAATATATTAGATATATAGCTTAATTCTAATATAAGTAGCAACTACAGCTATTTATATAACTCCTTACTAACTTTACTTATAATATACCCCTTTTATAATTTCCTTTACCCTTTCTAAGAAGGTATCTGTTCGGCCTATTAGTATAGTAGTAGGTACTGAATAGTATATTAATAAAATCCTTTAGTATTAAGCTTTCCGCTCGTTTCTTAGTACTCCCTATAGTATAGCGATATCCTTTACTTAGTAGCGAAGTTCCTTAATCTCGGTTAATATACTATCGCTATCCCGGTCTAGTTATAAAGTTACCTATATTCTACCCTATAACTTTAGTACCTAGTAACCTAACTAATATACTAATACTTATAGAGATTCGAACAACTACTTTATATTCAGAACTAGCAACTATATTTAATTTAAGCGAGAGGGTATTAAGTTCGGCCGAATAGACTATACCTTTATACTTAATAATATAAACGGCCGGTATATTTTCATTATCTTAATACTAGTGAAACGGACTTTAATATAGTATAAGCTCCTAGATTTAAAGGTTATAGAAGAGCTTTATAATAAGGTTATTATTATTGATATAATAGCGATTAGCCCGGTATATCTATATATAGTCCGGGTTAAGGGTATTGGTATATTATAGGTAGATTAGGATATATATACCCTTTAACTAATATCTAGAGGCTAGTATATTCCTTATTCTATATTCTATATAGCCGATTTACTAACAAGTACTAAGGGTTAATCCACTATATAGATCCTACTATTAGATAATAGATTATATCGCTAAACATTATAATATATATAGAATAGATATATAATTAATAGATATATAATTAATAAATATATAATTACTTAATAGATATATAATTATTTAATAGGTATATAATTAATAGGTATATAATTATAAAATAGGTATATAACTATATAGCAGAAGCGATTATATAGTAGAATTATATAGCAGAATTATATAGCAGAATATTTAGTAGATAGCGGATATACAGTACTATAGCAATAAATTGATTTCCTTCTATACAGGTCGATATATATTTACCGAGGTTGGCCACTAGACCGGGCATTAAAACGAAGCAGTTATAGCAGGTTGCCCAGAACTTACGGGCGATAATACTTGTTTCGCTGATAACGCTTGTTGATGTGGCTAATGCTTGTTTGCAGCGCAATTATAGTGGTGGGTTTAGTCAAAGTTTTTGGCTCAGAGCTTATAGCGTCCAACAAGCGCTGTGACCCCCTACAGGACCCCGCTGCAGTAGGTAGCCCCCCCCCCCAAGACCGGCCAATCTCGAACTCAGTCGGTCTCATCCATAAAATGCACAGCAACAAAGCTGGGACATTGTGGGCCTCGATAATGTCACTCACAACAAACTTCCCCGGCCAGACGTTTTACGAGGACCTGCATCTGCAAATTCCGGGGTACAGTAGCGTGTCCACCGTTTAAGCATTGTGTTGGTTGTCAGGACGAAGGAGGAGGACAAGGGTTGGGTAACCTGCACAAATTACCCCTGCTTCGGTCGTTTCTTGTGCCTCGGTATCTTTCCCTTCCCCTCATTCCCCAACTCGCCGAGACAACGGCAACATCCAATTGTTTCCTAATGCGGAATTTACCCTTGCAGGGCTGAGACAACATCACGGCTCTTCCACCATTCACGGGACGATGTGAGAGAGCTTGAATAAGTCTTCATGACAATCCATCCTTAGACCAGCCAGTCCCTGAACATTTATTTCACTTGGACTTTCGAAGAGCCCCCAAAGGTAACCTTAACTACCTAGCAGGAGGCTGGCTAACACGCATCATGGTCCCCGTCCCCGCCGCAGCCGCCGCCGCCGGCGCCCTCGCCGGGGCCGCCTACCTCAACGCGCGCTTCTCGCTGGCGCACGACCTGCTCTTCTTCCGCATCTTCGGCTCCGCCCTGTTTGGCCTCTTCCGCGCGGGGCGCGCCGGCAGGCTCAACGTCTTCTACGTGCTCGAGGCGCAGGCGCGCGGCGACAAGGCGACGGCCGCCAAACCGTTCGTCCTCTTCGAGGGCCGCGCCGTCACCTACGCCGAGGCGTACGACACGGTCCTGCGCTATGGTGCCTGGCTGCGCGAGCGCCGCGGCGTGCGAGCCGGCGATGTCGTCGCTCTTGACTACCAGAATTCTGAGACGTTTGTTTTTCTGTGGTTTGCCCTGTGGGCTATCGGTGCGAAGCCCGCGTTTATCAACCACCACCTGCAGGGCACCGCGCTGGCGCACTGTCTCCGGGAGTCGACGGCCAGGTTGGCGCTTGTCGATCCGCGCGTCGCTGAGAGTGTGTCGGACGAGGTCCGCCGGGAGCTCTCCGGTATGGAGTTTGCCGTGTTCACGCCCGAGCTCGAAGCGGAAGCGCAGAGGCAGGAGCCGGTGCGGTATCCGGATGCCGAGAGGACGGAAAAGGAGCCGACCGATATGGCCATGTTGATTTACACGTCTGGGACGACGGGTATGCCGAAGCCCGCCGTGATTTCGTGGGCGAAGGTCTATATGGCCGCCAATATGTCGGCAAAGGGAACGGGCTCAACGCCGAGCGATGTGTTTTATACGGTATGGTTGTCTGGGACTGGCACGAGACGGGATGGTATCTGACCCCGACGCACAGTGTATGCCTCTTTACCACAGCGCCGGCTCTTGTCTCGCGGTGTGTAGCGCGCTGTTTCTTAGGGCCACCGCCGCCATCGGTCGTCGCTTTTCCACCAAGACCTTCTGGAAGGAGGTGCGTGAGACGAAGTCGACCGTCATCCAGTACGTGGGTGAAACGTGTCGTTATCTGACGGTTGCGCCCCCTGAAATCGACCCGGTCACGGGCGAGAATCTCGACAAGAAGCACTGCGTACGCGCGGCCATGGGCAACGGTCTCCGCCCAGACGTGTGGGATCGATTCAAGGAGCGGTTCGGCATTGATGTAAGTCGTCACTTGCTCTGTGTGGAGAACTTGGATGGCAGGCTAACGTTCTGCTGCAGACCATCTATGAAATTTATGCTGCTACCGAAGGCGCCGCCGGCCTTTGGAACCCCTCCCGTAACTCCTTTGCAAAGGGAGCCATTGGCCGGTTCGGTCTCGTTTCAGGGGCTTTATCCAGCCTGCGGACGACGCTCGTTGAGGTGGACAATGAGACTGAGCTTCCATGGCGAGATCCCAAGACGGGTTTCTGCAAACGCGCCAAAACTGGCGAAGCTGGTGAGTTCATTGTCGGGTTGCCTGCGGACGACATCAAAAAAAGGTTCCAGGGGTATTATGGAAATACAGAGGCGACGAATGCCAAGATCATGCGTGATGTGTTCAAGAAAGGGGATGCTTGGTGAGAACCCTTCTCAGCGTCTTTAGGGTATGGTGTGGCTAATAGAATATCCAGGTTCCGCTCAGGCGATGTACTCCGATGGGACAGCGATGGGCGAGTCTACTTCCACGACCGTATCGGCGACACGTTCCGTTGGAAAAGCGAGAACGTCTCCACCGCCGAAGTTGCCCAGGTTCTGGGCTTGCATCCCGCTGTCCAAGAAGCCAACGTCTATGGCGTGCAGCTGCCGCATCACGACGGCCGAGCGGGGTGTGTGGCAATTGTGTTGGACACCCCACAGGCTAACGCACGGGTGCTGGCTAGTTTGGCTTCGCATGCAAGGGAGAAGTTGCCGCGGTATGCGGTACCATTGTTTGTACGCCTGGTCAAGGAGGTGGGCGCGCAGACGACGGGAACGAACAAACAGCAGAAGCATGTCTTGCGCCAGCAAGGTGTTGACCCCTCCAAGGCCGAAGACGATGCCTTGTTTTGGTTGAAGGGGGGGACATATGTCCCGTTCCGTCTAACGGACTGGAAGGCACTTGAACAAGGCGCCGTTAAATTGTAATCGGGCTGCTTTGAAGTAGGATAAGCATTGACTTTTGTAGTATATTTGGTTCATCTCCGGCCTTAGACGCTTGAAATAATGATAGTCCAGTGCCAATTGCTGTTTTCTGAACAGACACCATTAGCTGTGCCCGGTCTGTATGATCGACCTACCATACCTGATGCATGTCGGTGATCCTGACCGGCTCTGGCATTCCGCCGCCATGTGATCGTTAAAGGGTCAGTGTCAGTGCACACTCGAACGCTCGATCTCGCTCAGAACCTTCTTTTAGGGTCATGGGAATCCGGGCGCGGGTTTGGCCCTGTTCCACCTGAGGTCTCAGGGCCTTCGTTGGCCAATTCCAATACTCAACAGCCCGTTTCACAATCACAGACGCTGTCAAGCTGACTCTCACTGCGTGTAAAGCCCTTGTTGTGTACCCTTCGGCATTGCTTTCTATTCCTGGCGTTCGTTCATGGCACTTGCTCCCGGGTTGGATCAAGTACCCGAACGGGTAGAGGCGTTTCAGGTACTCCCGGATCGACGCGTATCTTTTTGACGCCCTCCCAATTGCCGGGCTCTTTATCGGGGTATTTCATGCCCATTTAAGGCCTCGTGTTGTCGCAGTTGGGATTGACTTGTGTTCGGCCTTGCAGCACGCCAGAGACGACTCTGCCATTACTCCCTCGTCGCCCGTTACGCAAGTCTATGCTGGGAAGAACCCCTTAACCAGGCAATTTCTTAAATATTCAATTGGCATATTACACCAAGCTTGACATACTGATGTTCGGATATACGATCTTAGGAGGAAACCACCATGAACTCCTCCTTTCCTACGGGATCATTATCCAATGACCTGAATAACGGCCAAGGAGCAGCAAATGCTACGTTTCCTGGCTTCTTCCATGGAGAAGCACGGCTTGATGACCTCGGACCAACAACGAGAATTTCAGTATGGTTGCTTCTAGGGGCGGGGTTTGTGTTCCTGCTCTTGCGCCTGTACTGCAAGATCGTTAGACATCGGACGCTGCATGCTGACGACTGCTTCCTCATAGCAGCTTGGGTGGGCGCCCCTGAGTCTTTGGTATTGAGAAGCGAAAAGGCTGACTGTTTGATGCTGGGCTTAGCTGGCTTTACTCGGTAGCGCAATTTGCAACAACATAGCCATTAACCTAGGATATGGCAAGCATGTGTGGCAGATACACTTTCAGAATCTGAACGACATGTACCTGGTTGGGCAAGTCACTATTACTTTAACAATTTGTGCCGCAGCGTGGAGCAAGACTTCTTTCGGCATCACGCTATTGATGATCTCGGACGGGATTCACGGCAAAACGCGAGTCTTTATCTGGTTCGCCTTGGTGTCCATGAACCTGCTCCTGGGCACCACTGCCATGTTATTTTGGGTGGGATGCACGCCATTGGAGAAGGCATGGCATCCGTTCATCAGGGGGACCTGCTGGAGCCCCAATGTCCTGATAACGTACAATGTCTTCACCAGCGGTGAGTACCTAGACTTTTGGCCCCTATTTTGCATGGCGGAAGAGGACACTAATGAATCGATATCATATTGCAGCATACTCTGGGGTTATGGACCTGGTCCTTGCCATCATCCCGTGGGGGATTATCATGAGTCTTCACATGCACACCAAGGAGAAGATTGGTGTTGCGTTGGCAATGAGCATGGGCGTGTTGTAAGCAACTTCGGTCCCGAAGACAAACCCGCATTTTCCTAACTTCGTCAACAACAGTGCCGCCGCGTCGGCGTTCATCAAATGCTCCTCTCTCCCCGAGCTCGGAGGGCGGGATTTCCCCCGTGAGTGCAACTTTCGTATCCTTCCCACTGAAGCGTATGCTCGGGCAGGCTAACCGGGTACCAGACGATGGGGTGACGTTGGTTATTTGGGGCAGCGCCGAAGCTGCTGTCACCATCATGGCGGCATCGGTACCAATGCTGCGCATGTTGGTCCATGGTACCAAAGCGTCAGGGAGGGAGAGTCGCACTCGGACTAGCGAAAATAGATCACGAAGGACATACAACACAACAGGGTCGTCCAGAAGGGTCTATTACTACAACAAGCCCAGACGGGATCTTGTGACAATGACTGGTTCGACGTGGACTGGGAGAAGCCGCTGACTGGCAAGAGTGGACATGGACAATCAGAAGGAGGGGGGTGGCGTTCGGCAGATACAACGGCGATGGGGGCTCAGGGGGTAGACCGGAGTTCGGTGGTTGTTTTCATCCCCATGACGGTACATAATCGGCTGGTGAACCTTTTCGGGAGGCTGCGGTGAAGTCAGGAATGTGTCAGCGACACAATTATTGATCTGAGAATGCAAACTGCTGGTCCAAGCCCGTTGAAGATGCCGAAGAGCACGCACGCCCTGACCGAGTTTCCCGGTCGTCCTTCTTCTTCTGCGCCAAGCTCATAACACGGGAAGAGTTTGTCGGGCCCTTCCGTGGCTGAACCGTGGATGGGTTAGCGTTGGCATGTCCGACGATATTTATAGCCTGTTGTTGATTAATTAAAGAGTAAGTTCCGGGGAACTGGACGAGTTCAATTCACCCGCCAAATTGAATGGTACGCCATTCAAGGGGTCGCTGCGACCTAAATAACCCTGCATCATGTAGAAGACTGAAGATAGCAACATGCCATTGGTTTCCCTTGAAATCGAATTGCGATCTGGACCGGAAAGGCATGCCCAAACTCTGCATGGTCCCAGGAACCAGGACAAGCGGAAGCCCCTCAATAATCCTGGACTATCGATCCTGAAGAGCGGTTTCGGTTCAGCTGGGGGTCGCACGCCCAAATGCAGATGCTCCGTGATAGATAACTCAATATACAGAGTGGCACTTGGACACGAATGCCAAGGTCGCCGCCGAAAGGCTGACTGGAGTTGGTAAATCCGGGGTAGTCGGGGATAGGGGACTCTGGGTCTGGGGGAGGATAAAAGACCTCGGAGTTCCGCGATATCCTCGCCCCGATGAGAGCCGAATCAACCTCCCGCTGAAGATCAAGCATCATTGCCTACTGCCAGCCGTCTTTGACTCTGTGCCTATTACCCGCCACCGTCAGAAACACAATCCGAACTCTTCAAGATGCTGTCGCAAGTTGTCATCGCCCTCACCCTGGCCAGGTATGACTTCATTTCCCCTCGCGGCCTGGCCCATTCACAGGCAAGACATGCGCATACATAAGCAGGGGCTAACAGGGCCTTTGGTGACAGCTCCGTGCTTGGCCAAGTCACTCTCCAGCCGTCCACCATCCGGACGGGCCGGCCGGGACTCCCCACCATCACGGTGACGGCCACGGAAACGGAAACAGAGACGGAGACGGAGACCCTGACCAAGACGGAGAGCTACATCAGCGAGACGACCATCACGTCAACGGTCGTGAGCACCAGCGTCAAGACCACGACCGACACGGTCAGCGTGACGAGCACCGTCACCAAGCCGTGCGTGACCTGCCCGACCTTGACCCGTACCGCGACCGCCTGCCGATCCTGCTTCGTGCCGCAGTGCACCACCACTGAGGTGGTGACACGGCCGTGCGGATGCGACGGGGCGCTGCCCACCGCCACGGTATCCTTCCCGTGCAGCGACCCCGACTCGTGCAACAAGATTGGCTGCACAACGGTGTACGATGTTAAGACGGCCGGTTGCTAAAGGAGGGGGAGCTGTCAGCAGAGATGGGACCAGATGGTGGAGCCTAAAAGCATGGCACGAGTGCAGCGATTGGGAAAGGACCGCTTGGATGGGTGGGGGGGGAGGGAGTTTGACAGCGTTCGGACGGTTCAGGGGCCAGGCTCTCAGGGCTTCTCAGGGAGAGACACGTCGGTCACAATGCCGAGCTGCCGGGTTTATCTAGAACAGAGCTGTATCCGCATGTTCATGGAAACGAAGAACAGTCAGAAGAGCCCTCGTCCAATATCGATTGGGTGCATAGTGTGGACTTGGTATGCAGGTGCGTGTCTAACGTGAGATTGATGGGATGAAAATCCTCTCTTTTTATCCGTACGCAGTCAAATCGTAGTGGCCTCCGCCGCCGTCCCACATCGCCTTATTTTGTCAGGGTTGTATTTGTGGTTCTTCCAGTAATAGTCCATGCAACTCTGTTATTGCCGAGTGAGATCGGTCTTCTTGGCCCTCGTCGAGCTCCTGGACACTCGTTCCTTTGAGCGTGTAAGGCGTCGGTTCGTGGATGGGAACTAGCGAACCTCGGATTGGAAGGCGGGTGGATGATCCTCGATCCTCAACCTCAACCAAGCCTTGCTGGTCCTGCCTGACATAATCTGGAATTCGTGAGTTGTGAGGACTGGTGAGCACAGAATACGGGTTTGGTCTGTTCTTTATTTGCCAAGGTCAGTCAAGCCTCCTCGTGCCAAGTGACTCGAGGGCACTGCCCAGGGGATAGCCACAACAAGTCACAAGATATTGCCCAAATACGGAACTTGATCCCGGCTGCCTGTCTACGGCACCGCCACAATTTTACTGGTCAGTCATACATACTGTGCATCCAGTAGTGCCATGTGGAAGCCGTGGAGAAGGGCAGGGCTGCAGGTGAGATATGCACGTCCTGGGAACGGAGGATGCACGAATCACGGGCACTGCAGCCATCTCTCGTGTGTCCAAACCAAGCCCAAAATAGCCGCTATTTCAGGGGTCTTGGGACAGGCCGCATGTGTTTCTATCAACGGCTCATCCCAGAGCCGCTCCGGCGGGACTCCCGCCAACCAACGGTTCCCCGGCTTTTGGCCGCTGTGAAACCACAAGCCGAACCCCTTACCCTCCCGGTTTCACGACCGGGGCAGAAGAACAGAAAAGCTGCATGGACCATGTTATCGATGTCAAGAACTCCCGTCCCACCATTCTAGAACCCAAGCCACCTTTCCCACTTCCTTACATACATTTGACTCGAGATCTCCCACCGCAGGCTCCAGCCGCACGCCAATCACACTGCCTTCACCACTCACACGATCATCTTGGCTCCAAACGCCGACGGCTCACAGGAGTCACAGCCCACGTTAGGCAGCGGTAACACGTGTTTAAGTGTTTATTGATTATTGATAAAAAGTGAGTCGCCTTGCTGGGTTCGTCCTCGTGTTCTTTATTTTGGGACACCTCATCCCGTCCCCTGTTTCCTGTTTCATGTTCCTACTCTTCGAGCTTTGGGCCTTCTAGACCCAGTTTGACTAGAAACGACCAACATTTTTTCCATCTGTTCTTTTGTTGTTTCCTTACCCTCCTCAACATGCCCAGCAGGCTGTCTCCCAAGTCACTGACTGGGTCACCAGACCCCCAGAAAACAGGATCTCCTCCATCAGGCTCCCCTCCTGAGCCGCGGGGCGTGCCGTTCTTCGCACCTCTGAAGAAACAAAAGTCACCCAAAACCACCATAATGCCGAGCAGCGAGAAGCGCTCCGTATCCGGGGCCTTCCGCGGGTTTCGCCGGCACAGCGACAAGGGACCCCCGGCGACATCACCCCCCATGCCGACGGTGGCAGCCACCCCGGCAACCCCCGACCTCAGCAACTCCCTAGATACCATCTGCTTTCCCAAAGTATACGAGGAAGCATGGGGCGGGCTAGAGGTCAACCGAACCGAGTTGGAGCGGGCGCGCATCTTCCTTCTGCGCATGGCCGTCATGGTCATCGACGGGCAGGCCAAGGCGGCCGAGTTGCGCGCCATCGTGGGCGACGAGACCAACCGCACCGTCCCCGGGATCGCGTGGGCCATCCAGATGCGCATCTACGGCAACCGCCACGCCGACTTCGCCGCCACCCCGCTGCTGCAGGCAGTCCGCTTCATGCTGATCAAGGCCCGCGTCCCCCAGAGCGGCTTCACCGACCGGTCCCGGGCCGTGCTCGACTTCTTCTTCGACCCAACCCTACACCGCGACGTCGAGCCCGCCCCACCGGGCGAGATGGTCCGCTACCCGTACCCGTCCGGCCGCCTCCGCGTGTGCATCGTCGGCGGCGGGCCCACCGGCCTGGCCTCGGCCATCTCGCTCGCCGAAAAGGGCCAGGGCAAGGTCGAAGTCCACGTCTGGGAGCGCCGCTGGGTCGTCACCGAGACGGGCACCGTCGACTACCCGCCCACCGCGCGCCGCCGCGACCAGGTCGTCACCCTGCAGGACTCCGTCACCACCCTGCTCAGCGCCCGCTCCTTCGAGGCCCTGTTCGAGGGCCACCCGGAGCGCGTGTGGCCCGGCTCGGCCAACATCCAGATCCGCAAGGTCGAGGACCGCCTGCTGAGCCGCTGCCAGACCGACGAGTTCCACGGCCTCATTCACCTGCACGCCGAGGGCGTCACCAGGGAGGAGCTGGCCGCCGGCAAGTGCGGCGACTTCCATGTGCTGCTCGGCACCGATGGCGCCGCGTCGTGGGTGCGCAGGAACTACTTCCGCGGCTATGAAAAGGAGCGCGGGAAGAGCTACGCGCTCGGCCTAGCGTTTGACCGTGGTTCCAAGGGCGGCCTGCCCTGGACACAGCCGCTCAACATGTTCTTGACTCTCGGTCAGACGCGCTACCTGCTGAATGCCAGCGACTTTGACGGGAAGGGCTACCTCAACATGCAGCTGACCGAGGAGGAGTGGGATAAGATGGTCGGAGTCGATGGGAAGCCTATCCACTTTGGCAGCCCGGCTTGTTTCCGTCGCCCCGATGGTAGTATCCCGCCAGGGTTCGAACCCGGTCGCGTCTTTGCGCCATCCGAGGATCGGAATTCGCCCCTCTGGAAGTCCATCGAGGACGGGCTGAAGCTGTTTGGTTTCAAGGAAGAGGAGGTTATCAACTTGGTACGCATCCCCATCGTGGTCCAGGCAGTGCGGGAGGGTGTGCAGCCCCTGCCCCTCGAGGACTCTCGCTTTGTTGCTCGCCCGCACGCTCTTGTGGCTGTGGCCGGTGACGCCGCCATGACTGTGCACTTTTGGCCCGGCCGTGGCCTGAACAGCGGTATCAAGGCCGGTCTTGCCCTGGGTGACGAGATCTGCCACGCCCTCAAGAGTGGCAAGTTTGCGGGTCTCCAGATCAGCGCTATGAAGGAGTACAACGACTTCATCATGAAGTTGCAGGGCCGTGAGCACGACAAGCGCAGCATCCCAATCTTGAACCAGTCCGGGTCACCCGAGATGCTGGGTTGGCTGTTGAAGAAGGCACAAGCTGTGCCAGACGAAGTTGCTATCGAATGGTGAGTCCCCCTATCGAGCTACGAACGGAATAAAACATCAACTAACATGTTCACAGGTTGGTGGGTGCAATGACACAGATTTGCGACCGTCTAGAGCTCCGTGACGATTGGTATTTCCCGCACGAATCCAACATCGAGGCCCAGATCCGTATCATCCTGCGCCAACTCAATAGCCTAACTCTGCGAGAAATGGCCGTTAGCTTCCCGTGGCCTACCCGCGAGATGGCCGGCGCCGAGGTCTTGCCCATCCGCTCCATGCGCCCCGAAGAGAAGCGCAAGTGGCTCCAGAACCTTTGGAGCCTGGTGAGAGATGAGAAGAGCAAAGACTCAGCCCGTGGCCGGGGGCGATCGACATCCGCCTCCAACGCGAGATTCGAGGCACCCCGGTTCCGGTCCAAGTCGCCTCTCGCCCCCCGCAGCGAGAGCCCCAGGCCAGAGACGCCACCACCGGCTTTTGCTGGCCCCGTCCCCCAGGTGCCCCCCATCGCACCCGTCACTCAAATGGAGACCCTCAGCCTCAACGGGGTTGCAAGGAACCGATCTCTGTCCCCGTCTCCGGGCTCGCTCCGGCGGAGCAACGCGACCAACGCGACCAGGCGCTCGTCTCAGTCCGGACTGACTCCGGGCGCGGCCGCCATTCCTCCCCATGTTGTTGGACCCGAGCGCCCCCGACGGTTTAGCCACTCGCGCACGCTAACTGTGCCGACGGCTGGGGCGGACGGGAGCCTAAACTACTCGTATTTGAGTGATGGCGAGGATTACATGAGCAGCGGCGATGAGAGGAACCCACGGTCCATTCCGTCGACGCCGGGCTCCTCACCGCCGAGCAGGGGGGATGGTGGCTTGACGAGGTTGCTGAGTGTTAGGAAGCCGAATGACTCGTTCTTGGCTGATGCTATGTCGTTGGCGCTGTTCCGTGTCAACGAGGATTGATTAATGAGGACAAATGGCGTTTGGGGTTTTGTTTTCAAGGGAGTAATAGGGGTAATGTGCGGGCAGCATGACATGGGCCATTTGGCGGTTATGACATTTATACAGACCGAGTTTGTAGAGCGAGTTAGAAGGCACGTTCATAGAATAGAACTCCGATCTACGTCTAGCTTGTATTCTTTGAGGAGATGGAAAACTCGAACTTCCTATGTCTCGGCCTCAGAATAACCTCATTCTCTTCCTCTGCCTTAATTGCACCCCGTTCATCATCGTTGTGTACTTCTTCGGTGGAGTCTGGAGTATGCCGTACGCCCGTCTCACATGATGTGTTTGGATTGGGCCTCTTGATGTTGATTCGCCGCCAGCACCCCCCTCTGGCTGACAGACTTCGTCATTCCTCAGTGTAAACGGTCCCTCGTTCAACTTCCTCTTCAACCCCACCCTTCCGACCGCGCTCGCGGACTCGATGGTTTTCTCTTGCCGTTGGACTTCCAATGCCCGCTCCGTGAGCGTCTGCACCCACTCGCTGGTCAAGAACCCCAGGATTTCCAGCACATCATCCTTGGCCCTGTGGTCCGCAATGACCCCCAGACCACACCATTCCCGGAACGTCTTCTTCTTCCGGTAGGTGAAGGACGCTGACCTGCAATCCGACCAGGCGCTGTACTCTTCCGCTGTCATGGCCCGTGTGCGTTCGTCGTTCTTCATGAGGCGGGCGAGAAGCCAGCGATTGGTGGTGCTGCCAGGAAGAGGGCTTGAGTTCTCTCCCCCGGTCCCCTCGTCGTTATCGAGAGCCGCTAGAGACGGGATGCCCTCCGTGTGGGGGAACATGGACAGTATCGACCAGGGAAGAGGCGGGATGGAGATTTCGGGACCACTATCCATGACTCCTTTGCCGTCCTTCTTTGGCTGGGGCTTGGAAGGATCGGCATTGGCGTGGGCTTCTTCGGCTGTCTCGGCATCGCCGTCCCCATTTTCGTCGTCTATTATGTCATCTACGTCGTCGAGGTCGAGGTCATCCACGGCCTCGTCGTCCTTGACTTTCGCCCGCTTTCGAATTTGCTTCCACTGCATGTGGTTGCGGAGCCTGGCAAGACGTCCAGCATCGTTCCGCACCTGGAAAATGATGTCGTTCGTCGTGAACCTTGTTTGCCCACGGCTGGCCGCGAGTTCTCCTGCTACAACCAGCTTCATGACGAGGTTAGTTACTGCGGCATTACTTCATCACCCCGGGTCATATTTTCTCTTACCATGTGCATTGTTTGGTCCCGGACAATGTTCTCGACTATGGTGGTTGTCTCCGCCGCGGGTTGCTTGGTCTCCCCAGCCACGAACATCATCTATTTGGCATACTGTCAGCGTTAGGCGTTCGATATGGATACTGGGAGACTACCTACCTTCAGAATCTCATCGCGGTATCTTGGGCCGCCCTTCACCATCTTTCCCACCGTGAAATGGCCAGTTTAAACGGTATGAGTGACTGAGTAAGAGATGAGAGAGTGTGTAGATCCTCTGTTGGGGACATATTACTTGCGTCCAACGAACTGAAACCGAAACTGAACCTTCACAATTGAGGAGCAATAAACACCCTAAATACCACTTTAAGGTTATGACGTTTCGTGATACAGAGAGGTCAAGGTGTTGAACAAAGACACCATACTCAGAACAAGACATGAAGAACCTCACCAGGTACGAGCGGCTTTGTTTGCTGGCAGGGCTTTTGAAGCCCTTCTGATGATCCACAGATTGTAGCACAGACATCACAAGCATGGGCGTCTGAAGGCAAACGAGTCACGAGTCCAACACTTTGGATGATTTCGATCAAAGACCTTATATTACTGAACTCGCGTTCAATATCTAGGTAGGTACAGGAAAGTCAACTATATATTGTGAATGCCATTGCGATTACCGCCCCACACCCCCGTGATGAACAATAGGAGATTCCGGAGAGTGGAACGAGGGCGTGGCGGATAGCTCGGCTCGGTTTCCGTCCCCATCGACGAAATAATGTTGGCCTTGCAACTCTTGAGTTGCCTGATCTTCCTGTAACTCGTGTTTTTGAAGCGGGTCCTGGTAATAGGCGCTGGATGGTGCCGTGGGCGGGTATGCGGCCACCGCTTGCCACTGATTCCCTGCCGCTAATGTCTTCTTCGTCTTGTTCAACTTCCAGGCGAGATATGCCACGGAAAAACACATGGATGGCAAAGTGACGGCACCACCTTCACTGTAAGAAAGCCGACAGCAAGGGAGTTATGAAACAGGATTGCGCAATACTATGACATTACCCTTGAATTGTGAGGCTTGAATTGGGAGCCACTGCCTGGGACATTCCTTTGCTTGCTGGGGAACGGCACGCGTTTAACTTCAAGGCCGGGACAACGAACAGTACCATGACACTTTTGATAGCTGACCGCTTCAAAGGACACTTAAAAACAACCCTACCGGCATCCATCCGCGGAGAACTCAGCACCGGTAAGCACAAGGGACGCGGCCTCCCTGTTGTACCTTAGTGGTTAACCCACTTCGCCCCCAACTGATAGCAACTATCCGCACCCGACCCCTGCCAACTCAGTCCCAAGTCATACCCATGCGCTGCAAAAACGACCAAAACGATCCCTTCGGCACGTATCCTCCATACAACCGCTGCCACCACGCCGCGAACGAACCTAACCCATCACACACTCGGTCAGCAAAACGAACAAAATCATACGTAGGCCACCAGGGAAGTACTCACCCTCAACCGGCCCGAGCCGCGCAAACCCCAACACGCGCACCAGCCCAGGCACCAGCCGCGCCAGCACCCCCAGCGCCATGACCGTCAGTAGCACCTCGGCGGCGACCTCGACGGGGTGCTCCCGAACGTACTCCCACAGCTGGGCCAGCTCGGCCCGCGCCAGCTCCCGCGCGTGTGCGTACGCTTCGCGGATCGCTTCGCCCCACGTCGCGTGGTCCCCCTTCAGCGCTGCTTCGATGCCGTGCAGCACCCGCTCGGCCAGGTAGGAGGTCCAGTCGGCGGCCGAGACTTCGGCGGTGATGAGCGGGGTGAGGGTGGCGTCGGGGCCGGGGGAGGGGGCGTGCAGGAGGATGGTGAGGATTTGGGTGGCGTGTTTGGTGGGGTGGGAGGGAGTGGGAGGGGGTTCGATGGTGGGTTGTTTCTCGGTGATTATTGGGCTGTAGTTGTTGTGGGTGTGGTGGTGGTTGTGGTGGTGGTTGGGTTGGAGGTTGCGTTCGCAGCCGCAGAGGCAGTTGAGGAGTGAAGTTGCGAGGTCCATCGTTGTTGTTGTTGCTCACTGGGGATAGTTGGAGGCGATGTTGAGGTGAGGACCGATCAGGGATGGGGATTTGTTTTAGAATAAAAAGAGCGAGGAGTTGCACAGAATGGTGGAGGGGGACTGGCGAGGTCGGTGGTCGGTGTCACAAACCTGTAGGCCTCCGTGCAGAAAGCGAACGAATCACGGACATGGACGCAGCGTGGCAGATAACCGCCATCGGACGGAACCAACAACTGGCAACAGAAACCACCAACAAGCATTGTTAACCCCGAAACCGCACGTGCAGTAAACGGCCTATACGTGGCGAGAAATGCGGTTTGAAGCTGCAACCACCGTTGTATAAACTGCGAGTGAACTCCATGATGATTCATTACCGCGATCCATCCACGCCCATCCATGACCATGTACTGACCTGACGATCGAGGAAGCAGGGTATCGGAATAGAAACCTTGAGTTGTATCCAGAAAGTTTGGTAATACAATATAGAGTTACGATATGTGACCAATGTGAGATATGTTGGTGTTTAGTTAGGTAGGTACGTAGCGGAGAAACAAGGCCGAAAAAGGTAAAAGCACGGTTGTAGGGTACATAACAATGGGGCGTTTAGGAGGTAATACGTATCCATTAATAGTCTCATCTACACCGGCAAGGGCGGAGATAGGTGGGCCTGGTACACACTCCCTTAGGTAGTTTGATATGTTTCTCTTCTACACTGGATCTAGCTTTGCGCCTATTTCCAATTCTCCAGACTACCTAGGTACCCACCTATGCTTCCTATGTTAATGCACTCCAGGTGTCTACGCATCACTATTGGCTGATTGGTGGTTTGCAGACGAAATGGATGTCATTCCCTTCATCTACAAAATAAGACAATGGCTGGCCAACCGAATTATCTCGTAAATACAGTCATAAAACTTTAAACAAGAAAGCCTTTCCTCCCAGGCGCGCCCTTTTCCCTCCGTCTCCACAGTCATACGGTACCCTTCCCAAAGGTCCGTCTCTCCAAGGCCATCACATCATCCTGCAGCCCCTCCCTGACTGCCCCCAATCCCGGTTTGGTATTAGGTAGGTACCTAGGCACCTAGGTAGGTAGTGTCTCTCATCCCAGTATCGGGATTTAGGCCGACGGGTTGCCGTTGAAGGCGAGGCGGTCGGTGGTGCCGCTGGGGAAGCCGCTGATGGCGCCCGAGATGGCAGAGGTCTTGATGTAGTTGCAGAGCTCAGCGGGGGACTTGGAGCCCTCGAGGGCCAGGAGGTAGGCGCCGAGGCCGGCAATGTGGGGGGAGGCCATCGAGGTGCCGGAGATGGTGTTCTGAGCTCGTGTGTTAGCATGGTTTCTTTGTCTCTCTGGGCTTTGGTTTACCCCCAAGGGGCGTGGGGGGGACTCACGGTGCGGCCGCCGATCCAGGTGCTCAGGATGTCGCTGCCGGGGGCGAGGATGTCGACGACGCTGCCGTAGTTGGAGTAGCTGGCCTTGCGGTCGCGGCTGTCGGTGGCACCAACGGTGCAGACAGATGACTCAGAGGCGGGCGAGTAGTTGGCAGCGTTGGCGTTGTCGTTGCCGGCGGCGACGGCGAGGAAGACACCAGCGTCGACGAGAGCGGCCGCGGCGCGGTTGATAGAGGCCGAGTAGCCACCGCCAAGGGACATGTTGGCGACAACGCCGTTGGGGCAGCTGCGCTTGGCGGCGTCAGAGGCAACGAATTCGATGCCGGCAACGACACCGGACGTGCTGCCGGAGCCCTCGGAATCGAGAACCTTGACGGCGAAGAGGCTGGTCTTCTTAGCAACACCATAGGTGGAGGAGCCGATGGTACCGGCAACGTGGGTGCCGTGGCCGTTTCCGTCCGTGTCGTCGCTGTCGACAAAGTTGCCGGCGAAGGTAGCACGGCCCTCAAAGTCCTAGTCGGGGGTTAGTATGATGCGTGCACGGTTTAAGAGCTCGGGAACCATACCGAGTGGTCGGTGTCGATACCGGTGTCGACCACGTAAGAGCAAGTGCCCTCACCAGCGCTGCTGTCGTAGACGTAGGTGGAGGAGCCCGGGCCCTGCTGCGAGATGCGGGCGATACCCCAAGGGGCGCGGCTCTGAGAGACGTACTCGTTGATGGTGAAGATAGCGTCCTCCTCGACGTACTCGACCTATAGGAGTGGGGGTCAGAAAAGGGGGTGGTCGCCGTCGTCCCTGGGGAGTACAACTCACCTCGGGGAGAAGGCGGATCTCGTCCAGAATGGCAGCCTCGAGCTCGCCAGCGAAGCCCCTGAACTTCTTGCCGCGGTAGACGTGGTCCGCCTTGGCCTTGCCAAGCTTGCCAATGGCGGCCTCGAGGGCGTCGTCGCTGACACCATCCCTCAGCTTGATGAGGTACTTGTTAGGGACGATCCGGCCGGCCCTGGCCGCGACGATGGGGGCGCGCTTTTGGATGGGCTCGGCGGCGGGGGCCGCGAGAGCAGCGGGCAGAAGCGCCAGGAGAGCGACGGAGAAATGCATCTTGATGAGATCTGAACCGGAGATGGGGTTTTGGATGAAGTGTTGACCTTGGTGATGAGACCGGACTCCATGGTTGAGGGGGAGCCGTGTTATTTATCTTGTTTCCATCTCGCATGAATCTCGTGTGCCTGCGCCCCCAAACACCGTCGTTCTGCATGCTGATGGGATGACCTGCCCCTTTCGATCCAGGGGAGGGGCCGCCACGGTTTGGCCAAGGTCGGACTTGGGCCGGGTTACGGCAGGCGGCGGCCCGGCCTCGTGGATGTGATAGTCCTCGACATCTGGGGGCCGTCGGCACCCCTATTGGCAATGCCGGGCAAAACGGCAGGCCAAAAAGGAGACACCTTCCCGGTTCGGCTTCTAATCCGGCCTCGACTGGGTCCCACGCACACGGGCGGGTGCTCCCGTTTTTTATCAAGTGCCTGTGATCAAGGGTTCAGGGGCAGACCTGTCTTTCGAGGACTAGCAACGCCGCACGTCGGATGCGCCAAGTATTTGCAAACAGCCGCAAACACCCAGCAAGGATGGCTACCTAACGTAACGGGTTTAAGGCGGCCGTGGCGATCTCTGGAACGAGATGTCGGGGGTGTCCGATCTGGCATGTGCCTGGGGGGGTATGGGGCGGCCGACTCCGTACTGTGAGAATGCAGGCACAGCCACTTGGGCCAACTGAGGCAGGAGAAGCACGTCCATTGGAGAACCAGATCTGATTAAAGGAGCATACCGAGGTATGCGCCGCGCAGCAAGGCGTTTGGGCGCTTGTGATGGTTGCCACGGGACGCTGGTCTGGGAAAAGGGGCTTGGCAATTCTTTCCAAGGACGCGGGTAGAGCCTCGGCTGCATGGAACAAGACCTATGGACGAAGGACATACCTGGAATTCAGTGTTCCAGGGAGAGAAATACAGGGCAGTCCTCATCCTCGCTGCGCCGTTGTGGACGGCGGATACTGCTTTTCCAGAACCGCCCCCCAACCCTCTTCTAGAACGGGCTCTGAGACATCGCGCCCCAATTCGAGCAAGCCGATCTCTATTAGGGACTTTGACTCGGCGATATTGGGCTTTTGGGGCAACGCAGGATGCCTTGTCAAACAGCCACGACCGAGACCGGCATTGCAGGATCTGGGGCAAAAGCCTTGCTAACTATGCACGCCATATCTCAAATGTAACATCGCCAGCCGAGACGGGGAATGGCGCCATCGCATTGGCCCACAATCGATCGGCAACCGGACGTCGCTGGCAACCAAGTGGGGGACCAGTGGAGCATTGGACATGGCGGGAAGAGGAAGTGCCGATCACTCACGCGGGGACTCGGGGGAAGTTGGTGGTTGGTCGAGGCGGTTTCTTGGGGAAGCATGGGCGAGATCCAGGTCGGCAGGTGGTATCCTAGGCGAGGACATATGGACATAGGAGGTTAGGAGGAAAGCTTCGAAGCTACCCTCGGAGCCTCGATGAAGCAGATGGCGCTTTCTTCACTTGAGCCTCTTTCGAATTGGGTAGTCATACCAAGAAATGTGATCCAACCTTAATCGTCCAATCCGTCCCCGGAACCAGGTTAGCCAACCGGCAATGCAGAGAACCATGAGAAATCGGTGTGGCACGTCAACGGTCAATCCTCTCTGGCCGAGGTACTGTGTAAACGCGGCGTCGACCGGGCGCGAACCCCCTTGGAGCATCGTTCCTGGATCGAGGCGGTGTTCAAGGGGACCTTTCGGGCCTGTGTTCCCCAGACCCCCACTGCCAGCTTCGCTTGGCCGCCTGTCCCGTCCCGCATGGGTCATTTGCCGGCTCTTATCTGGTGGCCTTCCGGATCAAGTAACGGTCGAGTTACATCTTGAGTTGGCCCCTCCCCCTTAGCTCCGACCGATCATGTCACTCGTCAAATCTCCGACACCACCACAGAGAGGGGGGATGGTTCGCTGCGTTCCTGTCTCGTACCAGGATCTGCTGGCGCGTGTCTTTGCAGCTGTGCCTTCTCATGCTCTGGTTGGCTGGCCTGAAGGAATCCTACCAGCTGCCAAATTCAGCATGACTGGCCGGCTTGTGCTGCCTGAACGGCCCCCCAAGAGGCGGCCCGGTGAGCTTTCTTGTGTCTTGGGCAGTGATGCGTCGCATGATACAATGTGCTTAGAGAAGGTGGCATCCCAGTTCCTGTTCGCGAAGTGAGAAGCGAGCGTTGCCTAATTGAAAAGACCGAAGCAGCAGTGATATGCAATGGATTTGCACCGGGAGATCTTCAGCTTCCCTGTTGATGATAGTGGGTTCTTTATGGTATGTTCGTATTGCTCGATGTACCAGCGCGAGTAATCACATGGAAAGAGCATGAGAGCACATTAAAGTCCCCGGAAGCTTAATGTGACGTCCGGAGCTAGGGGGGTTGCGCCAGGCCGAGCAAGGTGTAATAAGCTCGGTGATCGGTCCGAAATAGAGACACCGAGCAAGGTCGCACTCAGCTCAAAAGCCCTCATCAGTGTTCAACCCCCATGCAGACATACCAGGCAGCAACAACATTGCATGACGGTGACGTCAAAATACCTCCGAGATGCTGCCATGAACGCCGGATTTGCAATCAATCTACTCATTATCCTCTTAACACTTTATACAAAACCAACTGCCGGAATCAAATGAAACGCGGGGTAGTGAAATGAACTCCGGGTCAAACGGGCGAACTCCCCTCCGTCAACTGTGCGCCGTTGGAAGGAGACTTTTATCCTCTCAACGACGCCATGGTTTCCCGTTTCAAGATTGTCGTCTTGTGAGTGTCTGATTCCAGAGTCCACAGCAAGGTAACTGCTCCGTATAACGTGGGTGATGCGTGGTCTCCTCGTGAGGTCGGTATTTCAGCCAGCAAGCGGTAGCGGGAGAGGTGGCGATTGTTTCAAAGGTCGCGGCGTATTTTCGAAGGCTATGCTCGGCAGGATCAGATTCGACGACTCCCCAGCAACGCTCGACGAGCCGGAGGGAGATGCTGGAGGAATAGGGGGTTCGACCGTGACAAAAACGGCGTCCGGGGATGCGGGCGGCTGTACACCTGCAGGGGGCGGCTCTTGCGCAGGAACTTTCGGCGTTGCCACCAGAACAGTAGCTTTGGCCCACACCCTTGAGTTGGACTTTGCGTCTTTGGCTGGTTCTTTGGCGTCGGTGATCGTGCTGACGCCAATGCTCGGCTGGAGAACCATGATCACCGGGTGACCATCGTGGTAGGCGGGTGGCTCAGTCCCGAGAGCCCCTTGGATAACTCGTTTGGCGTGAGCAGTCGGTTGGGTTTGATACAGGTGTATGTCGTTGCTATTGGAATTGAAAACCCCGTCCGAAAGATCATGGAGGCCGCGAACGAGAGGAGTATCTTGGCGGCACCACAGCTGGCATGAGAAGCGCAGAGCCGCATCGATTTCCTGCGCCAGACTGTGTTCCAGCTTTTCTATCCCAGTTGCTTCCTGGTCTTGAAGTAGGAATCGAGCGGGGCCTCTGAGGAACCTGTCTTTGAGTTGTCCAGCGTACTTGATCCTGGCCTGGGCCGGAGCGTGGGAACTCTCGGTTAACAGGAAGCCATCGACTTCGGTGCTCATTCCACCGTCACAGAAACTTTTCATAACAGAAGCGCGCCATGAATTTGCGTTGCGGCCTCCTCTAGGGACTAAGAGCGTTTGGATTCCATGTTAGCAAAAGGTCCGCCCCGCCGGGGAAAAGTGAGGTTTAGACAAAACGTACGGTCCGACAATAGCTGATATAGACCTTCCATTGCTTGCCGTGACGGCAGATTTCGGCCAGAAAGCCCTAGTACTGGACCCGTGAAGGCACTCGGGGGTTGCGTTGACGTGACTAGCCGGGGCGGTTTCCGCGCATCCTGGGGCCCCGCGAGGCGGTCAACGACTGGGACCGGTCGGGGAGACCTAGCCTGACGCGGCGGAGCAATGTTGAAATTCCACATGGCAAGATCCATCCGAAACCCGATTGGCGACATGGAGTTGAGGCGCGGAACAATGGGACTTTCTAGTTCCAAGGTGTCAGTAGAGATGACGTCGAACACCCAAAATGGCGATTCGAGCGTTTCCGAGACGATGAAGTCTGTTAGCATCCCATGGAGAAGAGCTCGAGCGGGTCGGACACCGTCGTCGGGGGTAGCTAGGAGCTCTTCCGGGAGTTCCCCATTATCTGTGAGCTGGACGAAAGTCTTGACACCCTCACAAAGCTCACGCAAGTGCAGAGGATGGAGACCGGGCCGGACCCTGTTGGGATCCGGATGGGCAAAATCGTGCGCCCACTGGCGCCAGGTGTCCTCCTTTGTTGCAAACCAGGAGGTAATATCAGTGTCGCTCAAGGTCGTTTCCGCGGCCCGACCAAATTCGATTTGTGAGAGCTCCTCCTCCTTTTGGGAAAGTTGATGCTCAAGATTCTTGATGCGGGCTTCGAATTCATTCCCTTTTGTAACCAGCTCCTCCTTCCATCCTCGCTGCTGACTATCATGCCGCTTTTGGATCAAGGACAGCCTGTGAGCGAGCTTCTGGTTTTCGTCGAGTAAATCGGTCTCGGTCCGTTGTAGAGCAGCAATGCGCTGGTGTAGGCTGCGATTCTCCTTGGCTAGTTCTTCCATGGGACGAGGCGGAGCCATGGAGTAGAGATACCTGTGGACTTTATCGAGTGCGTGAGTGGTTGGGCTGAGGTCTCTGCGTTGGAGTAATTCTAGCCTGCTTTCTGAGGGCGATCCCCGGGGTGTTGGAGTATTGCTTCGCGCCGTGCTACTGATCCCAGCGCTACTCTTGTTTCTGGTGCTCGACCGGGACTGAGCCCGGTTGCGTGGTTTGTCGACATCACCCCCAAGAACGATGGAAGACAAAGCTCCGGGGAACGGGGCTGGAACACTGGTCGTTGATTGCGTTGCGGCCGTGGATGAACTTTCGACACCGGGAGAAGCAACATAGTTTCTTAGAGGCAAATCGTAAGCCTGCCGAGTCATCGTTGCCGATGTTGTCGAGGCTGCCATTGAGGAGACAATTAAAACCTGGGGCGGGGATCGAGCTGTGGCGGTGACGGAGCAGCTGTTTAAAGGTAGAAATAGGCGCAGTAACTACCCGAGCTTGCGGCTGAGAAGAGCGATCAACAGCTGCTGTGCTAGGTCCCATAAGTTGGGCCATGGTAGCCGGGCTTAGGACTGGCGGGAAGTGACCGTATATCACACCGTGGGACCCTATGGCCAAACACACCCTGTTTTGTTTCTCTCCTTGGGCTGGAACCCCGAATCACCGGGAATCCATTCTCCGGTCCCAAGGGATGGGATCGGCACTACCAAACCCACCGCCCCTTTGTTCCGGATTCTCAACATGGGAAATGTGAGACTTTGCCATGACTTGGACAGGGCGTGTTGTGGCGTCAAGCGCCGGGAACGGCCCGGATTGTTTTGTGATCGATCCATGCAGCATGCTAGCGTGGCATATCAGCCTAGGCCAGCCAAGCAGACAAAGTGGTTTCCCGTCACGATGCGTCTGGTCTCACTACCTGGCGGCTGCTGTGGCGCGGTGGGCGCTTATCGTGAGGAGGTGAGTTTTCGGGCCAATGGTGTTGTCAACAAATGCCGACAGCGTTGTTTCAGGCCACAATTGTCGGCCTCTGAACTTGGAATAGCTACCATTTTGCTTCTTGGCACAATGCGTCGTCTATGCCATCGGCTATTATTAGCTGTTGCGGGTTTGATAAAACGGAATCGATGAACGAAGATTCTTGAAACATTTCTTCTCAACTTTGTGCTTGTGGGTTGTTGAAAATGTTGAACGGAAGCCTCGGATACCCGCGCACGCATCGAAAGCCGCTCCTAGCCGTCAGTTCGCTCCGTCCCCCCACACATAGGGAAGCCCTAACCCTGAGCTTCGATATGGTCAAGACAGCACTCTTGACAAGAGGCGTTCTAACGAGGACAAATTAGAGCCAATAAAACATTTCGTGATGTAATATTTTAACCGTAGATGTGTATATGTCGGGGGTTAATGGTCAAGTTAATACTCAACCATAAACAAAGACAGCATTTGCAGGGACAAGCTCCATCGCGAGAGTGGGGCGCTGCAGAGCTCTGGAATCGGGGATCCACGGCAGTTTTGAGGTCTGGACATGCACCTTCCTGTGAGGGAGACCTAAGCTGAGGTGCCCCTCCACGCGCCGCCTTCCATCGCAATGCCCCGCACTTCCCTCTTCTCCCCACCAAACTTGATTACTTCAAGTAAACCCCTTGGTTACTTGTTGAGACGGTCTTCTCCCTGTTGTGTCCCCTACCGCAACATCAGCACCGCCTATTTCCCATCACCACGAGGTCGTTTCCAACGGACCCGCCCACAGCCCCCCCTAGCCTCGAGGTCAACAAGAAACTCGCGTTCGTACATCACCGAGGCAACCCGCGCCCACCAAGCCCGCAAAATGGCACCCCAACTCGACGGATATTTCCAGAAGGTGGACGCCCTGTCCGGCGCCTTCATCGAGCGTCTGCGCGAGGCCGTCGCCATCCCCTCCATCTCGTCCGAAGCTGCTCGCCGCCCCGATGTCGTCCGCATGGGCCACTGGCTGGCCGACCAATTGACCAAGCTCGGCGCGTCTGCTGAGCTTCGCGAGTTAGGAAAGCAAGAGGGCACCGACCTCGACCTGCCCCCTGTCGTGCTCGCCCGGTACGGCAACGACAAGAACAAGCGGACTATTCTCGTTTATGGCCACTATGATGTTCAGCCGGCCGAGAAGAGCGACGGGTGGGACACGGAGCCGTTTGACCTGGTAGTCCAGGAGGATGGGCGCATGTGCGGCCGTGGTTCGACCGACGACAAGGGCCCCGTGCTGGGCTGGCTTAACGCCATCGACGCCCACAAGGCTGCTGGCATCGAGTTCCCTGTGAACCTGCTCATGTGCTTCGAGGGTATGGAGGAGTACGGGTCGGACGGCTTGGACGACCTCATCAACGCCGAGGGCAAGAAGTACTTTGCCGATGCCGATGCCGTTTGCATCAGCGACAACTACTGGCTCGGCACCGAGAAGCCGTGCCTGACCTACGGGCTGCGTGGGTGCAACTACTACAGCATCGAGGTTTCGGGCCCCGGTGCCGACCTCCACAGCGGTGTCTTTGGTGGCACCGCTCAGGAACCTATGACGGATTTGGTGCGCGTCATGGGTTCGCTAGTTGATACTGACGGCAAGATCCTGATCCCAGGCATTGTCGAGCAGGTCGCCCCCGTGACGGCGGAGGAGGAGGGTCTTTATGACAACATCGCTTTCACTATGGAGACTCTCCATGCCTCGCTCGGCAGCACGACGACCATCTTTGAAGACAAGAAGCGTACGCTCATGGCTCGGTGGCGGAACCCCTCGCTTTCGCTCCACGGCATCGAGGGTGCCTTCTCGGCCCCTGGCGCTAAGACGGTCATCCCCGCCAAGGTCACCGGCAAGTTTTCGATTCGGACGGTACCCAACATGGAGGTCGACAAGACCAACGATTTGGTGTGCCGTTACGTCGAGGGCGTTTTCAAGAAGCTCGGCTCCAAGAACACCTTGAAGGTATGGCCTCAGCACACCGGTAACTGGTGGGTTGCCAGCCCCAACCACTGGAACTTCGCGGCCGCGGCCAAGGCGACCGAGCGTGTCTGGGGTGTCAAGCCCGACTTCACCCGCGAAGGTGGCAGCATCCCAGTGACCTTGACCTTTGAGCAAGCGACGGGCAAGAACGTGCTCCTCCTGCCCATGGGCAGCTCCACGGATGGCGCCCACTCGATCAACGAGAAGCTAGACAAGCGGAACTACATCGAGGGCATCAAGCTTCTGGGTGCCTACCTGCACTATGTGGCCGAGGAGCCTATTAACTAAGCTGTCTGGCGCGGAGCGAGGGGGCAGTTTCTGAGGGGTTCTGCTGTGGATAAAGGCTTTCTCATTTCCCAGCATGTAATATGAGGTTTTAGTTCCATAGCTGCTACGGGCAACATTTTGAGAAAGCAAAAAGCTCAAGCCATCATCCCTTTAGTGCACTGTGAGTAAGAGTATTAAGACGTTATTGACATGTCATGATTCCTATCCTTGGCCCATTGCCATGGACTGACCCCGTTTACCTGCCATCCCGGGGGTATCGATGTCATCTCTCCGTTCCGCGACCCAATCTGATGCTGTCGGTTCGTGTCCCAAACGCCAGTCCTAAACCATGAAAAAAAGGGAAGAATGTAGGAAAACCAATGCGGATCCAAGATCAAAAGAAAGGCCCAAACCTATCCCACCCCTCAAACCCTACCAGCCTTACTCCTCCGCCGCCACGCCACAATACTAGCATCCCACACTCCAGCAAACATATCCTCGCACTCATCCTCATCCTCCGAGTCAAACACGACCGCCTCCAGCTCCTCGTCCCGCTTGCCCCTCCAATCCGCACCCCAACCCTCCGTACCCACCGCCTCACCCCCTGCCCCCAGCAGCCGCCCATCCAGCGCCAACCCAGCCCCCACCCCGGCGGATTGCCCATCCACCGCACCATCACCATCACCACCATCCCCATCCACATCCGCATCCTCCCACCCGCGACACCCCACCACCCGCCTCGTCTCCAGGATGAAACAGTCCACCTTGTACGCCTGCGCCGCCTGCTCCGCGGCCACGTACTTCCACCCCACCGTCGCCCCGCACACCGCGCACAGCGCGTCGGCGACCACGTGGTACCCCGTCATCAGCCGGCGGCCCTCGGGCGCGCCGAAGCGGATGTTGATCAGGTTGGGGCCGGGGCCGACTTTGTCGTTGGCGTTGTTGTGGTGGTCGTCGGCGTAGGGTGGGAGGGGGGAGGTGGGGGGTTGTGGGGAGTTGGTGGTGGTGGTGGTGGTGGGTGCTGGGGAGCTGGTCTGGCCGGTCTGTTCGGGGGACGTCCGTGGTGCTGGTGCCACCAGGTAGGCGCGCCCGTGCCGGCCGTGGAAGCATTTGCTGACAATCTGTGTCTGGAAGGCCAAGTCGGTCGCGCAGTTCTTGCATCGGAGTGTGTCTGGGCGGGCGCGGGAGAGGCGGTGAGTGCTGGGGGTAGTGGGTGAGGTTGGGGAGGTGGAGAGAGACGGGACCGCGGAGCTGCTGCTGGTGCTGCTTGTCGGGGATGGGGGATCTGAGCTGGGTTGGACTGCTGGTTCGGAGATGCGGCGCCGAGAGAAGGGAATGCGCAAGGAAGGAAGGAGATAACGTGGGAAGGCAAGGGATTTGGTGGTTGGTGGTGCGGGCGCTGGCCCGCTGGTCCGTCGGGAAGACATGGCTTTGGTTGACTTATGCTGCTGTTGTTGATGGGTGGTTTTGTCAGGACTCGGCTTGGCTCAAAAGCTGTGGCGTTGATAGAGCTGTGGCGTTGATATGGAACAGCGAGGGGCGAAAAGATACTGTTCTAGTATTAACCAGCTAGGTAGTCAAGCGATGGTTTAAAGGTAAGTGTTATTGCCTCCTCGCGGGATGTCCGGAATGTTGATGTCTCTCATTCACACGACCAATAAACTTGGGCTCACTTCGGCATTTCGGAATCAGTCGCCTGACAACAGAGCTGGCACACAGGACCGGATTTGGTTGGAAGACGGCCCAGACGGCCTCGAAACCCCTCGGAGTTCATTGGACCAAAGAGCGCCGTGCGAGCTTTATTTACCGTCAGTCCTAGGAAAGTGTTGACGCAATAGCATGGTTTGGTAACGGGGCTCGACCACCTGACACTCCCCGCATTGTCCGTTCTCCCTGCAGAGTGGGGCCAATCGATCCCTGTTCCAACTGCCGGCCGGTGTCCGACTCCGAGCCCAATGCCGAACGCCGTCTCAATCACAATCGAAATGGTGAACCGTTAACCGCAGAAGAGTCGACCACTTTGAACCCTGTGTTCGCTGATATTCGCGGAGATGCAAGACGTCGCCAACAGTGGGGCAACACGCTGAGCGTTGGGCGCCTCGACCCACTGCGGCCCGAAACATGGATACCGCCGCACAAGAGCATTGACGTCTTGGCTTCCTCCTCGACGGTAGCAAGCGAGTCGGTGTAACATGGAACTGAGAGGAAAGTCCTCCTCTCAGCCAGAATATGTGAGCCCAAACTGACTGACAGAGGCGAGGTTCGGGTTGAGCTGCTGGATCTCATTCTTGATTGGACGTCTAGCCCCGTCCCCTTCTCCCTTTTCTCACACTGTTTGGTCGGCTTCTAGGTGGTTCAACATGAAAAATAAAATAAAAAATCCGGTTGTTGCCGCGCAAATCCGACAATGTTGGTTTCAAGCAATGGTTTGCTGAGCCGTTGAATTTCGTGCCGTTGATCCGCCAAGTCTCCGAAAACGTGTGCGGCAAAGTGCGTTGGTTGGTTGCAGGTTAGCCACCGCCCCGCTTTTCACACCACGTGATGCGCACTCCAACGCCAAGACTTCCACTTTTGCTGTGGCTGCTGGATTTCCCTCAGAAAAGTTAACTGAACTCTGTTTTGTCTGCCCAACCCATAAAAGCCCAGAATCCTTGCCACCGACTTCTCCAAGCTTGCACACCAACAACCAACTTATCATCAACCTGCTATTTCCACCACCTCGAAATACTCAATCGATAACGCTTGCCATCGACGATCGGTCGAATTGACCCGAACCCGATTCCAATACCCGATTTCCCAATCAGCACCCTGGCATCCAGCAACAATGGCGCCCATGAAATCACCGAAATCGAACCATAGTAGTAATTATGGCGAGGACATTGCCCGCCAGGCCAATATCCTCGCCAGCTGCTACGTTGTGGACTCGTCCACGGCCTCGTTGAAGGGCCTCCACTACTGCACTACGGGGCTCACAGGGGCCGAGTGGTATTCCTGAGGTCCCTTCGACGGGACTTCCATCGCCGCCATCAAGCCCCCCTCTCGCGGCCCTCACGTCGACCAACCAGCTCGCGCTGACCCCCAAGGCGAGGTCATCATCAACGCGCGGGCACAGCGTCGGTCGTCACGGCTCGGGCACTACTACCGACACCACGAGTAGTGCCTGGCATCGCCGCCGAGGGGGGGCAACACTGCGCATCAGGGAAGAATGTGAGAGGTTCTTTTGCGAGACACTGCGCGCCATGCTTCTGGGTGAGAGGAACGTGGCGCTGCAGGGCTCGGGCCTGGCCAGTGTTCATAATAACGACAACTACTATTACAACGACAACAACGGCAGTTACAGCAGCCGCATCAGCAACAACGCCACCCGGAACGACGGCCGTGCTCAGGCCGTCGGGCACTACGGCCAGCTGACGCCCCCCGCCGATTTCCCTATCGCGGATGAAACCATGATGGGCGGTCGGGGCTTCGGTGCCCCTGGCGGGGTCCTCGGCTGGCTGGAGATTTGGGACTACGCCGGCGGCTCCAGCTTCCGCGGCTTCGTCGCCGAAGATGCCGGCCGGGAAACCAAGTCGCTCTTCGTTTTCTTCGATGCACACGCCATCACTCGCGATTTGAAGCAGGCGTACGTTCTCTCCCTCCTCTCCCTTTTTGTAGTTCCCGTGGATATGCTAACATATTTGACAGACTCGTCGCTCTCATTGAGCTCGCCGAGGGGCCGCTTGCTTGCTCGCACATGGTCATCTGCATCGAGCGGTCGATACCCGCGGAGGAAACGAAGGGATTGACTAAGGGCCTGCAGTGGGCCGGTTTCTCGCTCACCACGCTTGACTTCTGGTCGCCCGGGTTCGACGTTGTGAGCAACCGATGGCTGTTCATGGGTATGGAGGTTTAGGCAACGGAAGGGTATGGCGAAAGTTTTTTCCGGAGATTGCATCAGCGGCTTTGGTAGCGGTCATTATCTTTTTGCGTTTGTTCCCGGGACGTTTTTCTCTTTCTTAGTTTGATGCTGGGCCAGTCACTTCCTTGGAAGCATCATGAAATCGGTGCACGTTCCGTTCACGTCAGCGAGTCAAGTATGTATGTACAAAATTCGAACCGACTATAGCTGTCTATACCCAAAAAATTGCATGTTTTGCGCTTGGCTGTTGGTGGCCTCACAACTCGCCCTCAAATTTCCTCACCGCCAATCCCTTCTCACCGAGGTGGTCTTTTACCTGCTGCACCGTGTACTCGCCCCTGTGGAACATGCCAGCCCCCAAAGCAGCGTCAGTGGGTGTCTCCTGGAAGACTTCAAAGAAGTGGCCTGGGTTGCCCGCCCCGCTGCTGGCAATGACCGGTATCCTGATGGCCTGCTTAACTTGTGAGATCAGCTCCAGGTCGAACCCGCTGTTCGTGCCATCCTTGTCGATGCAGTTGAGCAGGATCTCCCCTGCGCCCATAGCCTCGACGGCCTGGGTAAGCTCCACGACATCAAGATCCCTGGTCTCTCGTCCACCCTTTATCGTGCACGCGTACCAGCAGTATCCCTCTCCCTTCGGACCTGGGGACTTGGTCTTGACGGTGGCGTGGCGTGTGGCATCCTCTTTGGGAACATACACCCGCTTTGGGTCCACGCTCACGACGACGGCTTGGTTGCCGTAGGCCTTGCTGATTTGCTCGATGGCAGTGTTGCCGTATAAAGCCTTTCCACCCCGATAATACTCCTCGGCAGCGATCACGGCGTCACTCCCAATTGACACCTTGTCCGCTCCGCTCTTGAAGTACATTGTCGCGATCTCTAGAGCTGACACCTTTGTCCCATCTACATCCACCGTGTCCCGGATGCCACCGCCGATCGTCAGGGGCACGAACACCGTTTCTGATGTCCTCCTCAGAATCTCCAACATTGGCAGATCGGCAACTGGGCAGTCCCGGAAGGAGGTGATGTTCAAGAAAGTGACCTCATCTGCCCCCTGCTCGTAATACTTCTTCGCCATCTCCACCGGCTTGCCCAGGTTCCGTACCGATCGGTCGTCAGACTTCTCCCGTACGTCGTATTGGTCCCCCTTGGTCACCACCAGATCACCCTGGTCGTTTGTCCGCACATCCAAGCAGGCAATCACACGCCGAGTCAAGCCCTCGTTCGCAATCATCTCGTCCACGCCGGCATCGACTCCTGTGAGCGGGTTGTCCGCGAGAGCCTTCGCGCCTGACCCATCCAAAAAGGCACGAAGAACCCTCAGCCCCGCGACACCACTCTTCTCGGGGTGGAACTGCGTCGCAAACACATTCCCCTTGGCCACGGCCCCAACGAACGTTTCATTCCCATATGTACCAGTGGCAACCGCCCAGCCGAGCGCTTCCAGCTCCCCTTTATTGTACGGGTATTTGTATGAGTGAACGTAGTAGTACTTGGAGTCGGGGCGCAGGCCATAGAGTGTAGGGTTTGTGGGGCATGAGGCGTTGTTCCACCCGATGTGCGGGACCGCCTTCACAGAGTCGTCAAACCGGTCCAGTGCCCCCGGGATGACGCGGAGACCTGGGCAGTCGGGATCTTCGGCGGATGTGGAGAAGAGGGCTTGCAGTCCGACGCAGATTCCCATGAACGGTTTCCCGGCGTCGGCGTGGGCGCGGAGGGCGGGGAGGTAGCCGGCCGAGGAAAGTTGGGACAGGCAGTGGCCAAAGTGACCGACACCGGGGAGAATGAGTTTCTAGGAAACAAGAAGTCAGCTTCTCGGCGCATTCTGTCGCAGTAATTGCTCGTCCGTACCTCAGCATTCTTGACGTCCTCCGGTGATCGGATCCATTCTACCTCGTAACCAACCTTCTCGATGGCATTGACGAGGCTGCGCACGTTTCCGGCGACATAATCGAGGAGGTGGACTTTGGGCATCTTCGGGGTGCTTGTCCACGGCCGTCTGGTGGTTAGTGACTGACTGTGGGATTGAACTTGGGAGTGAGTCAATGGGACGGATGGCTGTTAGCCCAGAAATAATATTCCGTCAGGGCAGTTCAATGGCGGGGCAGGGTCCGTCAATCGCAATTACCCCGCCATGTGGAACTCCTACGCAGGGGTCCCGGTTCTGCCTTGAGCGACCGCTAAGATTTCCCATTGATCGCCCAGGGACCGTCAGCTCTTTGGCGTTGATTCGCTCTGTCGCTGTTTATTCCGGTCAACTCAATCCAGCACCGAGAAGTCGCATTCCCGCTCCAGACCGTTACCCACTACTCAATACATCGCGAATAATAACGGCGAATACATTAACGACAAAATCTGAAATCTATTCGCAATGGGGTCCCACGGCCGAGGTCAGCCGAATGTCTTGCCCGACGACGACGACGGGTGGGAGTACGAATACTCAACGACGGAAACAGAGGTATGCGTCGCAATACTGTGGGGTTTCTCGTAAACGCTCACTCACAGAGCAGACTTACTACCTTACCCTTGATCTTTCGGTCCGCGACTTCCTCGAGCGCAGAACCGACGACGTCGCCCACACTACGCGAACCGGATACAGGGTGTGGTACAACCCTCTCTTCAACGCGCCGGAACCCCAAACCTCGAACCCAGATCTCCTCGACGACAAAGATGCCGACGACGAAGAGCCCCCGGAGCGCGAAGAAGTAGATATCGACACGGTTGGCGTCCCACAGCCGCAAACTCAGACAGACCCTCCGATCGACCCTTTACTTGCGCAATCAACCGAGAAAAAGGGGCAAACGGAGAGCCAAAAAAGCCACAGGCCAGCGGAGCAAATCCAAGTCCTCGAGCTGCACTCAAAAGAGCCGATCGTTTCATACCGCAATCATGTGTTCCGCGGCTCATGGTGCGAAAACATCGGCACCGAGATGATTTTCACCCCTCACGATGACCCGACGCCACTCCCAGCCCTCCGTCACCTCCCCCAGAACATGGATCTGCTCGCGGCGAGTGCGACGAGGATCAACTTCCAGGAGGCAACATTGGCGCCAAAAGAGCGGGGCATGATGTCGGAAGGTGTATTTTTGGGCTTTGGTTATTCCGAGGAGGATATCCCCGAGCGATACAAGCGAAACGGGGGCATTTATGTCCACATCGGCGGCGACAAGAGCGGCCAACGACAACCGCAAGCCCATTTCCTCGAGGACTTGATTGCCATAAAACGGAAACGCGGCGAGACGGACGAGGTCACAGTCCAGCCGCTGGAGACGAGGCAGAACAAGCTCATGGTGGAAGATGAGGAAGAGGAGCGCCGCCGGAAAAAGCTACGACAGGACTATGCAAGGAATGTGAGATGGCGCGACAAGAGACGGGAGGAAAGGATACTCGGACTGAGATCACCGGAGCGGAACTACGTCCCGAGGATAGGAGGGAGACGGGGTTGGCCAAAGAGGGCGAGGCGCGCTGCGCTTATTCGACGAGACAGCGGGGCGATATCGCGGTTTGGACACAGGATGGACCGAACGAGTGCTTCGACTCCAACACCAATGCACTGGGACGACATTTCTGATGACCAGAATCGAGAGGGTGCTTAAAGTCACACAGGCCGCGAGGCCATCCCCGAGGCTATACTTAACCCGTACAAACATGCAGAACCGTCCGGTGTCTGGCACACCGGCAACTCCGGGTTTCGGAGCCACGGGGGCGTTGTGGAACCTGTCATTTGTTCCAAAAGCCGGTGAGAGTGGTGGGGCAAATGTTGCGCTGAGACAAGACTTGAGTACTGATACCTTTGCTCAGCGCACTCCTTCGGCAATAAATAAGTACTGCTACTGCTAGTTAAGCTGACGCATGCACATGCACAATCGCCCCTCCCCTGCGTTCCTGACAGCACCACCCACTGCCAACACTGCAACGCCGAGCCCAGTTCCAGCGATTCCCTGCATCCCACTTGACGATCTCGACTTTCAATTATCCTGCGCTTCGTTTTTCCTCGAGCCTTCGAAACCGCTTTCCTTCCTTCCTCTCGACAACGGATGCTACTCTCCCGCCCAACCATCCCGACCAGCAGCGGGTGACCGCTCCACTCTCAAATCTCGACTTGCTTTGTTCCCTCACCGCCGATCACATTCCATCCGACCTTCCCGGTCCCCGAGGCCAAAAACCGTTGAAGAAACACCACCTCGCAACGCCATTCTTCGAACCCCACACCGATAATCGCGCGCCTACGTGGCCCACGCGCCGCCACGAAATGTCCCTCATAGCGTACAGCGCTCGCAGGGTAACGATCGCCACCGTCTTCCTCGCCGCCCTAGTTTTCGTGCTCTGGCTCCTACCACGGGTCCTGAACCCGACACCGCCCGATGCGGAAGAGCGCGAACGAGATAAAAACTGGGTTGATACGTCGCCGAGCTGGGTCGATCGCCAGGCATGCCGCTGGCTGGGACTCTGTGGCATACAACACATACGATGGGATGCGCCTTCGCTCACGGACGACGGGCCTTCGACATTGGACGAGCTTAAGTCGCTGGCCCTCGGATTGAGCACATATTGGGTGTTTGGGACGAAGGTTGGGCTCAGTGACTGGGAGACGGCTCCGGCGGAGAAAGACTCGAGGCGCGGGCCCCGCGCGCACAGCACCGGCGGTGCACGTATCCTCGAAGCGGTGCCTGACTATGTGATCGACCATGCACCACTGGTGCATCTCTACTCGGAAGAACACTTCTGGCCGTCCGACATCGCCGAACATGTCCGCCACATGAAACCGTACCTGAGGGGTTCGTTGGTCAACACAACCGAACCTTTGGATCCTGGGAACATGGAGCATCTCAACGCGCTGAACGGAACAGTCTTCGCCACGAGCGAGGATGATGTGGAGTCGAGGCCGGAGTGGCTCCATAGCCGATTTTCCATTCCGGCACCTTTCGAAGACGATGGTTCAGACGGCAATGACGGGGATGACGGCGCACAAGACCCCCCGCGGCGGCCCGACGACGATTCTTCCTGGAAAGACGTCGACAGAGACCACCCCCCGCATCGCATAGTCCCGCCCAGGATGTCATCCCACAGACACAAGGGCCTTCGCCGGAGGCAGTCCGTATCCGAAGCTCAACGCCCGATTGTGTGGACTGGTCCAAAGGATACCGAGGCCAACAAGCCCGGCCTTAGCGGCTACTCGAAGGCACCGGCCGTCCTTGTGCTCGTTGACAAGGGAGCCGGTATCGTCGATGCGTTCTGGTTTTTCTTTTACAGCTACAATCTCGGTCAGACGGTGCTCAATATCCGCTTCGGGAACCACGTCGGCGACTGGGAGCACTGCATGGTGCGCTTCCAGCATGGCACCCCACGGGCCATGTTCCTCAGCGAGCATGCGGGCGGCAAGGCGTATCTTTGGAAGGCTCTCGAGAAGCGATCGCAGAAGGATGGCAAGCCGGCACGGCCCGTCATTTACTCGGCTGTCGGTAGCCACGCCATGTATGCGTCGCCAGGGATGCACCCGTATGTCCTGCCGTTCAAGATGCTCAAGGACATCACCGACAAGGGCCCGCTCTGGGATCCTTCGCTGAATAACTATGCCTACTGGTACGACTATGAAGTCAACAGGGACGAGGAGCGGAACTCGACAATCCAGGACCAGACCAGTCTCGCACCTGCAGCCTCGAACCCAGATCTGCAGACTTCGTGGTTCCATTTTAAAGGACCATGGGGGGATGACATCTACCCCCTGAGTGACCCGCGACAATGGCGTTTGTTTGGCGAGTATCACTACGTTGCGGGGCCGCTCGGGCCCAAGGCGAAGCGACTAGACAGGAGGAAGGTGTGCCAGACGGAAAAGTGCACCATCGTGGACAGCATCGAGGCGGGGAAGAAGTCGGCGTGGTACTGAACCGTGCTTCGACTGTTCGGGGTTGGCGTCACCCCATAGACGGACAAGAATGGCGTTTGCTGTGATACCCTTTTCCTCTTTCCTTTTCCGTCATGACCTTTGGACCTGGACGCATTACTTCTAGCAGGATGATACAGGACAGCATAGACAGACAGCACGTAGAGCGGCTTCCGGCCACCCAATGGACTTTCAGGTTTGCACTATTACAGTGCAGGCACGCCTTCCCACCAAGGCCTCATCTGTAGTTCTTGATTTATTTCTAATTAACAGTCTCAGTGTATCAAAATCAACACCCCACCAATGGAACCGCTCCATTCCCCTTTGCCCTACATCGTGAGGCAGCCTAAAAAACAATGCTTTAGTTGGAAATGGCGCGGAGCCACAAAAATGGCCGGCTTTACGTGGTTCGTGAGGGAACACAGGGGCATCTAGGGGTTGAGCGTGTTGGTAAAGTGATGAATACGCTTACCTGGTGCCATTATTTCATAATAGATGTAGTGGATATGTCAGGAATACTTCGATTTATTTTATTTACAACCCAGAATCAACCCAAACAACCACCGCCGAACTCCGCCCAGTAGGAGCTTCTTGCTACAATATGTAGTACCAGGGTTTCTGACGCCGGGCCATCTCCGCTTCGTGGATCGCGAATCCGTAGCTACCCAGGAACAAAACAGCATGCAGCCCTGGTGAAATAATGCCAGCGAAGGAACCCAAAATCGCCCCTTGCACAAGCTGGACGAAAGCCGGGAGAGACTCGACGATGTGGGAAACAAAAACGTACAGGATCGTCAGCATCGACGCCCAGCACAGCGGTACAACAAATCCGAATATAAAGTACACGCATTCAGAAGGGCGTAAAAGGCCGAAGAGCGTCAAGAACAGGCACAAGATCCCGCATATCCCGAAGTAGATGACGATGGAATTTGGTGAAATGGTCGTCCGTATAACGGTGACGGCGGTGGGCAGGAAGCGGGTGAGGTGTCCGATGACGGCGTACGAGATTTGGCCGGCGGCTATTAGAACGCCTAACCAGAGCACCAAGGCGGTATAAGTGGATAGGCCAGTAAGGAGGAGGCCTTTGTGGGACATTGTTTCTTCGCGGTGTCGCTTTACGGTCTTGCCTCGTGTCATGTACGTGACGCGGTGCATGATTCCCGTCGATTGGTGATAAGGGAGGCCGTGGGAGAGGGCGTGATCCGTTCTGGGCTGGGTTCGCAGTCGTACGGGCTTTGGAAGCGTACAGCGTTTATTTGAGCGTCTGAGGGCTTTAAAGCTGGCCGTTGGTTGGTAGCTAGTCCGTGGCTATCCGGTCAGCAAGGTAGAGAATAATTATGACCAAGGCGCTTACTGGTTATGTGGCCTGTGTAGCACGTTTTCAACTATTCCGGCGGCATGCTAGAGTTCCAAAACGCCGAGCTATAGCAATTTAAACAAGAGACTGTGCTCTCTGTAGATGAAAGGGTACCACGGCCATCCTAAATATAGAATAGAAACGAGGTGCTAGGGGCGAGTCAAAACGGTCCAGACAACATCGCCTCGAAGTACCGAGGGGAATAAAGAGTGTTATTATTATTGTCCACGAAGGTCGGAGTAAAACTATAGCGTTCAAATACAAGGTCTTTTGAGGCTGGGCCATCATCGCCGTAAATGACATTTTCTTTTATTCATCTCTGGCTATCCCTTGGAAGTTGACTTGACGGTACTGGTAGCCCTGGATACACCCCCAAGCGTTTCGTTTCGGAGATAGTGGGCGCCACGTTATTGCAGGCTTCCAGACCGTGTCTAGTATAATGACGATATCTGACATAGTTGTAGTTGACAAGCAAAGCCGCCCTCCCAAACACGGAACACAGTGTTCCGCTCGTCCCTCCTAATGTATATACAAAGGGGCAGATTCGCCACAAAGAAACAACGGGGAAGACGAGGAAGAAGAAAGTAGAGTAAGGGGAACCGTTTTCATCAGGCCCTTTCTTTACTAGGCATTTCTTTATTTGCAACTTTTCAACCTCCCGTCCACATCGGCTTCAGTCTAACACCCCCCCCCACACATATGACGGATGATCGCCCGACAAGGGAGTGTTCGAATCAGTTACATGATCTTCACTGCTGGTCTCAGAACCACGATAACGGTAGCCAAGTACATGACTCTATGGAAGCCGGTAACCTGCGCGCTAGGCACAGGGAGGGTACTATCGTATGTGGTGTTTTTCTATTATTTACAATCCATTGCCTTCAATCCCAAGCACCTTCAATCCCAAGCAACCATTGCCCATACTAGGTTCCGCCTAGTGGAAGCTAATTACCGAGGTCGTCCAATCCCCCCTTTTATATCCACACCAATAGAAATACAACAATGTTCTAGTAGGAAAGGTAGTACCAAAAGGACTGACGCCGGGCCGCTTCCTCCACCTCGAACCCGTAGCAAAACAACAAAACTAGAACATGCAACCACACTGATATCCCAGTGAAGGAACCCCAAAAAGCCGCCTTTACAACCTCGACGAAAGCCGGGAGGCGGATGATGACATGCCTAGCGACCGCGTACGAGATGCGAATGGCCGCCAGCCACAACGGCAGGAAGATGATGCACGTAATGTACACAAGAAACAACGGGGGGTCGACCAGGACGCAGACAATGAAAACGACGACGTGTACGCGCGGCGGGATGCTGGGGAAGGACGTCCAGACCTTGGTCTGCACGACGCTGACGAAGTCGGGCAGCACGAGCGTGACGTGCCTGAGGACCGTGTACGAGATCTTGATGGCCGCTAATGCTAAGACGCAGAAGAACACCGAGGTGATATAACGGCACACGGCGAGAAAGTGGATGTTGTCGGGAGCCATGGTCGCTTGCGGTGTTGTCTTGTGTGATGTATATGATTCCGTGGACCTTTGTCGCTTGACGACGGGAGAGACCGAGAGGGTGTATCTCGTTGTAAGCCCACTTCGGGGTCGAGGGTCTCGGATGCCTGCCGCGTGTATCGAGGGAGTTGAGGTTTTGGCAATTGAGTGTTGGTCGCTGACTGGCTGGTGTATTCCTCGTCAGCAAACTGAGAAATGATAGTGGCCGGAGTATTGGCGATTTACTGAGGCCGCTGTCTCTGGGGGCTCGGAATTCTTCCAACTACCTATTTTGTGTGTACCGTGCCTGGGATTCGAAGCTTCAAGTTGTGTCGTTTTCGACCCGAGACTGTGCGCTTTGTGGTTGCAACGGTGACAGGAGCACTCTTAAATGTGGAAGTTAATATGTTCTCGAGCAAAGCTGAAACGGTCCAGACAAAGTTCTCATGTGAAAATACCTAACGAGTGGACCCCGAATAAAGAACACGGCATTGTTCACAAGGTTGGTAAAGCGTCAAGGGACAAGAGCCTTCAGGCTGAGCCATAGTTAACTTCAGTGATTTGCCATTGTTGATGTGTGAGTCCGCCATGGAAGTTAACTATACCGTGCTGTCTACCCACGGCGGATATATGGGGCTTTAGTTTAGAAGGTGCTAAGCGTCGCGTGACTGGAGGCTTTTAGATCAACCTCTATTCCCATTGCGATACTACTACGTAGGTAGTATAGGTGCTTGTGATTCGCGAGTCCAGGGTCCTCACAATTCACAAAGCACCAATATTTCCTCAAAGGAATAGGACAAGAAAAGGGACAAAAAAAGAAGGCAATACAAAGCTTTGCTCAGGCATTTCCGTCTAACTCGTCACTCCTTTGTTTTCCCGTTGCTAAACTCTCTCTATCCATATTGTCTTGAATTGGGGATACTGAAGCCTCCGATGATACAGACATTACCATACTTCTAACACGGCATGGGATGTTAGACTCTATTCCATGATCTTGATTGTCGTATATCGCAACAACCACTATAGCGATGGTTAAGCCAACATGGGTGTTTAGGGAAGCCGGCAAGGTCCGCGGGGGCGGTAGGCACAGGCAGAAAGGCGGGTTGAACGTTTAGTAGAGGGTGAAGTAACAACTCGGCTATGTGTTACATACATGTAGTGGATAGAGTATAAGCAATACCAAGGCGGCAGGCTCATCTTCTGGTATTATGTGGAGGAACGTTGCACGTTGAGAACGCACAAGCGCCCCAATGACCCTGTTATTCGACTAGCCACAGCCGACAGCCTGCTGCTCTGTAACATTATTAGAGAAGAAACTGTCGGTAGAGTACCTTACCTGCCTCGGAGCCTCTGGTGCATGCATCTCGATTGTGCGGCTCGGCGGCCCATTGATGAGTCTTTTGATGGAAGTGAGACGGTGTCAGGGGCCTTGGATCAAGTTTCCGGGGAAGCGACACCGGCTAGAACCGGCCGCTCCCCGGAATAGACTTGATCGGGGCACCATGTTGAATGGAGGTTGGTGATATCAGCCTGTTTCTTTGTAAGGTAACCTGATGAGTTGGCGATGCGACTCCGAGTCCCGATTGCTGCACGAATGAATTCTGGCTAAAGTTTGGCGAAGTCACTTGAGTGGCATTGAGAAGGAAGGGAGACTGGCGGTGGCGGTTAAGCAATAACAGGAGCCGAATGTGACAGTGCTTGGACGCATGGTCTCAAAGTCCCCGAACATGTAAACTTTAAACATCTGAACATGCTGTGGGAGTTGGATCTTCCCCGGATCAGAGCTCGGATGGCGTACCCACCGTGGGCTGTATTCAGAACGGCCTCCTGGTATGATGGTATGTAATCCATTCCGTGAGGATACATCAGTCGTGGAGAGGGTTTGTTCGTCAGTGCCTGTCTCTGGACCCTGAGAGTACAACATCCTATCGTCTTCCCTCGGTCCAGTCCGTCGCCACAACGAGGCAACGGCAAGGCCTGGGGTGGCGGACGTGGTGGCGTTGTGACCTTCCGTTCCCCCCGTTGCCTTTCTTTCGGAAGTAATTCTCGGGGTCGAAGAGCCGTACTTCCCTGATTCAGCAAGTGTGAAGTCCTCGCGGAACCAACCAGGCGTCGCAAAGCCCAAGAACCCAGCCAGAAGGACCCTGGACTGTGAGCCGCCCAACGGTCCCGGCCCTTGGGGGTCGTACCAGGCGTCGTTTAGCCGGCGGTTGAATCGGCAGTCAATGCCTGCAATTCCTCGGCCATTTTTGCCGGTATCTTTCTAGAAGGTCCCACCCACCCACCTCCCGGGCTGGCGTCACGTTTCCATGAGGCTTGTTGCCCCTTTCTCATTTGCTGAGCCCCCTTCATCAATGCCTGACCGGGTTTCTGGGTCACGAAGAGTGTTGTTTGCGGGACGTGCGGCTCATGTGGACTGGGTGCAGCATGCTTTTGGTCGGATGCTCCTCTCAAGAAGGTGAAGTTTGCGGCCCCTGACCATTTCCATCTTTCTATTGTTGCATCGGAGGACAGCAAGATACCTTGGCTCGGAGGCTTATCCCTGGACAAGCCGTTACCCCATGATCGCGCCCTGAGCTGAGTAGTGGGGTTTGGTTCGCTTTGGCAAGAGGCTTTGGGCTGCCATAGTTCATTGCTGCTGGAAGCAGGCCCATGCCTTGGACGACCTGGACGAGGGATACTGTGTAAACCCAAAATGGCCCTCGTTAGATCTACAGTACCTAGGGTAGCAGCATAGGTTTCTTTCGGGGCATGATTGTCTCAACAACTCCATCATCTTAACTTTAAGGCTTCGGACACACCCGGATCAGCAAGACGCCGCGAGGGCATCCCAGGTGATGCCAAGGGCGGGGTGCGTTGCATGACACGCAGGGGGCGGGAACCGGGCATTGTGATGGAGCAGACAGGGGATAATCGATCACTTCAGGGCTAGCGTACCCCAGCCCGGATCGGGGGGCGGCATCAACAAGTCCAGAAGTTAGCTAAGAATAGCGACTGGGGAAAGTGTCGAGGGCATATGCTCCGAGCCAGATGCAGCTGAGTATGGTGCAAGTGTGTATATAACTTCCTCGATCGTCCCCTCCCAACACCGGGACCAGCTCACCACCCCGTTCACCACTCGCCAACCTAGAGCTTACTCGAGCACCGAGTCGCCACAATGGTTACCTTTTCTTCTCTCTTCCTCGCGGCCACAGCGGCTGTCGTGGCAGTCGCCGCCCCCGGCGAGCTGCCCGGCCTGCACAAGCGCCAGACGTTAACCAGCAGCAAGACTGGTACCCACGACGGTTACTACTACTCTTTCTGGACCGATGGTGCCGGCAGCGTTCAGTACACCAACGAGGCTGGCGGTCAGTACAGCGCGAGGTGGTCTGGCAACGGCAACTGGGTCGGCGGCAAGGGCTGGAACCCGGGTACTGCTCGGTATGTTGAAGCTACTTGTAGTTCAGACATGACTCGACCTTGGACATGACTAACAACACCTCCAGGACCATCAACTACACGGGCATATACAACCCTAACGGCAACTCGTACCTTGCCGTCTACGGGTGGACCCGCAACCCGCTCATCGAGTACTACGTCGTCGAGAACTTCGGCACCTACGACCCCTCGACCGGGGCCCAGCGCCTGGGCAGCGTCACCACCGACGGCTCGACCTACAACGTCTACAAGACGCAACGCGTCAACAAGCCGTCGATCGAGGGCACCAGCACCTTCGACCAGTTCTGGTCGGTCCGCACCAACAAGCGCAGCAGCGGCAGCGTCAACATGCAAGCCCACTTCAACGCCTGGGCCCAGTCCGGGCTCCGCCTCGGCTCCCACGACTACCAGATCGTCGCCACCGAGGGTTACTTCTCTAGCGGCTCGGCTACCATCAACGTCGGCGGTTCGTCCAGCGGTGGCGGCGGCGGCGACAACGGCGGCGGTGACAACGGTGGTGGTGACAATGGCGGTGGTGACAACGGCGGCGGCGGCGGCGGCGGCGGCGGCGGCAGCGTACGTTGATGAGCCCCTTCCCTTCTCTCTCCTCTCCCAATATTCCATAACTCTCTTGCTAACTGACTTCCTTCCAGTGCGCTGCCAAATGGGGACAGTGTGGTGGCCAGGGCTGGCAAGGCCCGAGCTGCTGCCAGAGCGGCTCGACCTGCCAGGCCTCCAACCAGTGGTACTCTCAGTGCCTGTAAACTGTGGGAGCGTAGAGGCTCGTTGAAGAGGACAAGGTCCCAGATTCCGGCACGGTTGATGAGGATCGGGTTCAGGGGTTCAGGGGCTTGGGGGTATTAGGGGGTCTTCGTGTACATAGTTGCCCTTTGCATCTAGCTTGTTAGTTGCAGTACAAATATTCCTTGGGAAACTCGTTCTCCGTTCGTAGATTTCTGTGAATGGGAATTAGCCCTACGGCCCGGTTGCTCGTCACTGGGATGTTGCTGGTCACTTGGTTGAAGTTGGCGGTGAGGCCAGGGGTTTGTGGACGATCTGATCGCTCCGCTGTTGGTTCCTCGTGCTTGGAGCAACCGTTGATCACGGGATGGGACACCCCCAGGATGAGGATGGGAGACAACACTCTTCCATGTCCACGTACCCCGGACAAGGCGGGGGTCGGCAGTTCAGCCTAAGCGGCGATTGGTGGGAGATGGTCTGAACCAACAACCCAGGACGACGGTACGACCTGCCGAGCGTCAGCCATGCTCGATCGAGCACCGTGAGAGGTCAATTGCCGTCGGGGTTAAAACAAGCACCGTGCCGAGGTGGCCAGTTCGTGAGGAAGCCAGGATCGCAACCCTTCTTCATCCGTGATCATCCACATTCCACTCTTCGGCCTCCCCAATCTTGCACAAGGCCCGCCCCTTCAATCGCCCAAGTTGAGGAAAAGGGAAACGTTTAGAAAATGGCGAATACATTTCCGCGCCTTCCGCCGTCCGGCATCAAGGTGATCATCGTCGGCGCGGGCTTCGCTGGGCTGTCGGCAGCCATCGAGTGCGACCGCAAGGGGCACTCGGTGACGCTATTCGAGAAGGTTGACGATATTGACGAAATCACGCGCATCGGCGACATCATCAGCTTCGACCCCAATGGTTCGCGGGCATTTGAGCGCTGGCCGGGGGTGGTTGACGCTATGGAGGCCATCGCCCGCCAGACCACCTGGCTCGACTTGTACCACCACGAGGGCAAGTTCGTGACCCGCCAGTCATTTGCCCACGAGAAGGCTTGGGGGCGACGGATCAACGGCCACCGGGGTCAGCTGCATAGCATCATCTATCGGCATGCCGTTGCGAGAGGGATCGATATCCGGCTCGGGTCGCGGGTGGAGGATTACTTTGAGACCGACTACCCTCCGCAAGCGGGCGTGGTGGTGAACGGGGAGCGTTTCTCGGCCGACGTGGTCATCGCTGCCGAAGGGGTGCGGTCGCGCGGGAGAAAGATTGTGCTGGGCTTCGACGAGAACCCCAAGTCGTCGGGTTATGCTGTTTACAGAGCCTGGTTCCCCGCCGACCGCATCCGGGACAACCCGGTGATCCGGCACTTGGTGACCGACGGGGATTCGCACATGGGGTTTATCGGACCGGATATCCACTTCCTGGCGTCGAGCATCAAGAACGGGACCGAGGTGAACTGGGTGTTTACACATATTGACGATGGGAACATCGAGGAGAGCTGGCAGTTTCCGGGTAAGCCGGAAGAGGCGCTCAAGTACCTGGAAGGGTGGTGCCCTGTGGTGCACGAACTTGTCAAGTCAACCCCCGACGGACGGCTCATCGACCACAAACTCGTCTACCGCGATCCCCTCCCGACGTTCATTTCACCAAAGGCTCGGATTTGCTTGATAGGCGATGCAGCACACCCCTTCCTACCGACCTCTATCCAGGGTGCAAGCCAGTCGATCGAGGATGGAGTGGCACTGGCGACGTGCTTGGAGCTGAGCGGGGACAAGGACATTCCCAGGGCGCTGCGGGCATACGAGAAGTTGAGGTATGAGAGGGTACACCGCGCGCAGGCCATGGGTCCGCAGACGAGGGAGCGGTGGCACAAAGCGGATTGGAATAAGGTGTGGAAGAACCCCGAGATGATCCACTTGGTGCGGGAGCAGTGGCTGCTCAATTTCGACACGGAGAAGGATGCGTATGACCGGTATGGGGAGGTTGTGGCCGAGCTGGAGCGGGCAAAGGCACGGCTTTAGGGGAGGGGGAAGGAACAGGGGAGTAAACACTGCTAGCAACAAACACAAGTACAAATCCCAGTCCATTTTCTGGTCAAGATGGTGTCATGATGCTGGTCGCCCGCAGGTAGTCCACCACCTTCTGGTCAAAGATGCCCTCTCTCACCAACTGCTCCGCGGACTCGACCACCCACGTCTGGCAGTTTCGCTGCGTGATCTTTGTCCGTTTCTCGTTCTGCACAAGTCAGCCATATGCATGATGAAGGGCAACCCCTCCGAAACGTACCTGTCCCCCATCTCTATCCACCGTCCTCAACGTCTTTTCCGGCGCCGGGACCTTGAACAACATCCTCTCAAACTCACACCTCGCCACACCCTCCACCACCACCTCCCCATCCCTCCCACCCTCAAACACCCCCTTTACCCCAACCCGATCCCCATTCCCATCCCCATTCCCATCCCCATCTCCATCTCTGACCCCGTCTCCCACCACACCCTCCTCAACAACCCCCTCCCCAAAATACTCCAACCCAACCCACGCCAACCCCACCCTCTTACAGGGTCCCCTCCCCCCAGCAGCCAGCCCCATCTCCCCCTCCAAATCCCACCCCCGCTTCACCTCCAGCCAGAACCCATTCCTCACATCCCCCGCCGCCTGGATTATTGTGCCCTGTGTGGCGCGTGACGGGGAGGCGACAAAGTATTCCCAGTGGTCGGCGAAGGGGTGGCCGTTGTAGATGAGCAGGGAGACGAGGGTTGTGTTGGGTGGGGCTGGGGGGAGGGTTGGTGGTGGGGGAGGGGTTGTTTGTGTGGCGGTGGTGGTGTTGGTGTTGTGGTGGGGGTTCGCTGGGGGGTTTAGAGGTGGAGGTGGAGGAGGAGGGGGTGGAGGTGGAGGTGCTGGAGGCATGGTTTCGGGGTGGGCGTTTGGAGGGTTTTTGGGTGACTGCGTTGGAGTTTTGGAGTGTGCTGTGCTTTCAGTTCTGGGAGCAAGAGGAAGATCGGATGTGAACTGGTGGCCTTGAAAAGTGGTACCCCGATGGTTGTTGACGGGGGTCGTGGACGGATGCGTGCCACGGTCCACTCCCCGAGTCCGACGCCACGGTCAAGGGTTGCAGCAGGTCTCTTGGTAATTTTTGCGGTACATACTCCGCACTGAACAACGAGCTGCTTACTTTCCGAACACCAGCCGGATTTTCTGGCTTGACGTGGGGATTCTGTCTCAACTCGCGACCTCCGATGCCCCCGTAGGCCCGTACTATGCAAGGATTTGTGGAAGATGGGCATCACGAGGCCCAGTTTCACAGTAAATCTCTCAGCCAACTTGTTCAACATACCACACTCGTGTGCTTCGCTCAGCCGTCTCATGCCGTTGGGACTCATGGACTGTCTTACCATGTGTCTGCCTGCAGCTCGCCAACCTCTTCAGCCTATCGAGAGCCCTGTTGATGCCGGCGAGTGGATCTAAACAGGGTTGAGCACCCCGAACGCTGCCATCTTTTGCAACTTGTGTGCCAAGCGGTTGCACCAGGCTCGGGTTGGGCAAATACAAGGCTCTGCTGCAGCGCGTCAGGAGCGTGAGAGGGTGATTTGATGCCCCGCTGGGCTGTGTGCATGAGTTTTACACGTCGCCGAACAATTTAAAACTTTTATTTCCGCCTTTTGTGTCGTCCTTAACACAACCCGTGGCCTTCCCCGTTGTTGAGGGGGAACGGCGTCAACGACGTCTCAGCGATCAACTTCATCCAACACCAACTCGGCATCTTTGGGCTTTCAGGGCCAGGATTTGAGGGGCACGCACTTGGCAAAGACTGCTTGGTCCCAGAGTAGGGTAACTCGGCCCGCAAAACTACACAGTAAACAAACATGGCCCGCTACGCCCCTGAGTGGATGGACAGCGTCCGCCGTCCACGCCCACTAGCGCACATCCGCAGCCCCGAAAGCATCAACCGTTCACGCCAGCGCCGTGACCGCGAAGCCAGCCGAGAACGAGACCGGGACATATCCCGTGAGGTCCGCCGGGTCGACCGCCAACGAGACCGTGACCGCGACCGCGGCGGCGGCCTTGTCGCCACCACCGACGTGCGCATGGTCAACGACATCATCGACGACTACCCCGAGCGCCCGGTGCACATCAACTTCAACTACGGCCCGGTGTCGATCCACCCGGACTGCACCTGCCCCAACCCCTTCGCCCACACCTGCGCCGTCCCCATCTCCAGCCTCAGCAGCAACAGCAACAGCTCCACCGCCCCGGGACCCCCCAGCAACATCGGCGCCACCCGCCGCAACACCATCACCTACCCCGCCAACCCCTACACCCCCGCACCCCCCACGCCCGCCTCCCGCCGCGGCGGGCCCCCTTCCTCCTCTTCCGGCCCCGCACCACACCCGCCGGGCGGCCAACCCCCCTTCCCGCGCTCCATCCTCCGCGCGCCCCGCCCGCCACGCTCCCCCTCCCCCGGCCCGCCTCCTCCCGGCAGGGTCGGCAGGGCACCCGTCATCATCCCGTCGCCGGAGTCGTCCGACCTCGACGAGCGGCGCGCCGCCCGGCCACGCCCGCCGCGCCGGCCGAGGACTGCTAGTATGAGTCGTCCGCCGCCGCCGCCGATGATGCCGCCGGCGGGGATGGGGATGCCTGTTGTTGCGATCTGCGAGGGCTGTCTGCGTCGGCGGGAGTTGGTTGTGGCGGGGTATTGTGTGGATTGTGAGTATTTGGTTGGGACGTGGCCGGGGATGAGTACCGGTGGGGGTGGGGGTGGGTATGACCCGACGGGGAGGGATAATGTGCTGGGGTCGTCGGTGAGGCGGTATATGAGGCAGGACTTGGAGAGGGATTTGGGGAGGGAGAGGGAGGAGATACGGAGGGAGAGGGAGAGGGAGCTGGAGATGGAGTGGGAGTTGAGAGAGAGGGAGAGGGAGAGGGAGGCTATGAGGGAGAGAGACTTGAGGGAGGCGGGGAGGAGGGGGGTCAGGTGGGAGAGGGTGTTGACGGTGAGGGATGGGGAAAGGGATAGGAGGTTGTATCCTGGCGAATCGGGCGGTTATTATGGTAGTGATACGGACGATGAGAGCGGGTGGTAGAGAGAGGTTTCACGGGCTTTTATCTGACGTTGTATAGAGCTGGTGGCTTGGTGGGCTCCCATTCGGGGTGGGTTATGAAGGTCATGAAATGAGTGACGACTTTACGACGGCAACGATTTAATTTTTATACGAGGAGCATCCGGGGTTCTTTCTAGCATAGCCGTTCTAAAAAGGGTGAATGAGAAACAGCGGGGCTCAACCAACGTTGAGGATTGAGGACAAATAAAGTTTCCCGATGCGGGCTGCATGTCGCCACCGCAGCTGATACATAATGAAGTCCTATCGTATGACATTTGGATGACGTATGTCCCGCAACTTAGATTGAACATCAACCCACGAATGGAACTGAGCTTAAACATCCTCGATATACTCGTCGACCCTTAATCCTCCCAACGATCCGATTCTCAACATAACAGCTAAGCAATACATCACAACATCAGTCAACATGGCAACAACATCAGAACCTCCCCCATCATACGAGCAAGCCGTCCACGGCGGCCCAGAATCCCTCCCCCAAGAAACGCGCAACGGCATCCCCCTCCCTGCCCGCCGTAGCATGGAAGACGAGCTACGCCCACTCCCCGCAGGCTGGGTGCGCGAGTTCGACCCTGACACCCAGCACCAATTCTTCGTCGACACCATGGCCTCCCCCCCACGCTCCATCTGGCACCACCCCTACGACGACGACACCTACCTGGACTCCCTCCCCCCAGCGAGCGCGAGCAAGTCCGCGCTACCCACTCGGGCCCACCCCGCCGCCCCAGCGCAGCCGACATCGCCGCCGAGGAAACCGACGGCGACTCCGACGCCTCCAGCACCAGCACCAAGCGCAGCCTAGGCCGCAAGCTCAAAGACCGGATCACGGGCACCACCCACGAGCAGCGCGCGGCAGAGCGCAGCCGCCGCGCGGCGGCCGAGCACGAGCTGTACCGGCAGCACCGGCTGCTGCGGCGGGCGATGCACGAGGCGATGCGCACGGGCCGGCCGCAGCTGCTGGGGCGCGACGAGAACCGCGCGCACCTGTATCTGGAGCCGCCGGGGCATACCTTCCCCGGGGTGACGGGCGTGCGGAGGTTGAGTCCGTATCTGAGTGAGGTTGTGTATGACGGGGCGGATGGGCGAAGGCCGGGGCCGGCGGGGAGGTATTTGAGGCCTGAGGGGGACATGTATGGCATGGGGTATGGTGGGTATGGGTGTGGAAGGTTTGCCGGGGGCAGGTGGGATCGGCCTGGGGTGGAGTATAGGAGGGTGCCGGGGAGGGGGTTTGGGGGTGGGTTTGGCACACCGTTGATGATGCCGCTGATGGGGGGGATGATGATGGGCGGGTTGATGGGGGCTGCTTTTTGAGGTGAGAGGGGGGTCGGGGTTGGTGTATCACCGTCGTTGTGGCCAGAACCGAACAAAAGTCCGGGTACTCATGGAGACTGGAAGATCCATCGCTGGCCCTTCCAGATTCCTTTATTATGTGGTCTTCTGGCTGTCTATCGCGGAACAGAACTAGCAAATGTCTCAAATCTATCTCGCGAACCGGCTGGTTTCTGTCCGTTTAAGTTCCCTAGGCTCCGTTTGGCATCCAGTCAGGCTCAGCCAACTCAAACCCGCTAGGATCAAAGCCCGGCGCGACTGCAAGTGGTCAACGTTAGCGTCCAGGAACACGATGATATTCCAAACGAAACAAAAACTCCGAACTCAAAACTTACCAGTAGTCCCAACAAGCGTCCAGTCCCCCCAACTCCTCGCCCGTTGCCACTCCCACTTCCCGATGGCCAGCTGCGGTTGCTGCCCGGCAAACACATCCGGCCCCAGCTTCACCTCCCGCACCGGCGACCCGTCATCGTGAGAAAGCGAGAGCGTCAGGGGCGCCCCGGCGTAGTAGTGCCACACCTCGACCGCGTCGACCCGGTGCCAGTGGGAGTGGCCCTCGTGCCCCTCGAGGAGGTAGTAGATCGCGGTGCTGATGGAGCGGCTTTCCGTGACGTTGTCCGTGTCTCGGAAGGTCTCCACGTAGTACCCCTTCTCGACGTTGGGGATGAGGTTGAGCTGTGCAATCACTTCTTGGGCCGTCCGCTTGTGGATTGGGGTTGCGTGGTGGGAGGACTGGTTATGCTCGGGCGAAGTCCGGACTTCCTGCTGATGAGGTGCCTGGGCAACCGCGGCGTGAGATCCGATGGGTATGGATAAGCCGACCACGGTGGCGAGAAGGGAGGAGAGGCGTATCATGCTGGCTAGGAGTTAGGAGCTACACTGCCAATTCAAGTTGATGTTCACTAGAGTGTCAGACAAAAAGTCGTGGACCGAAAATTTGTGGGCGGGTATTTACTGTTTATTTATGGTCCAGCTCTTCAGCGGTGAGACCGGAGCCCCATCCGGACCGTCCTCCGGCTGACATGCATGTCGATCCATGGAAAATTGCGCCACATGGCGACAGGGCGCCTTTTCTTACATTACGTTGGGCGGTGATTGCTAATACGAGCGGAATCCAAGCGGTCGGGATTCGCGGGCTGACAAAACTGGGTGTCATCGCCCACAAAGGTCAAAAGACCCGACGGTATGGTTTGGGGTCTCAAATAACTTGGAAAGGTACGGTATGGAGCTCAGCGGGTTTGGTCCTGCTCCTACTTAGCTCTCGCCTCCACGTAATAACGAAAACGGGTCAAGGTGCGGGTCACAACTAAGATAGCGAGAAGGATGGGCTAGTGGACTGATGATGAGCTTTCTGTCGTCCAGGACGGGCTGTTGCTGTATCCGGGCTGGCGATCCGGAATATCGCTAGGGCCGCGTGGGAACTTCGTCCTCCAACATGTCTTGTTTACATTACGGTACATCGGCCTGTCGGCTCCTATATTTTGCTGTTGCATCTTCAAACTTTCGCTTGATAGAGGACTGAAGACGGAGCTCCTTCTCGTGGATACCATCAGGTGGGGATAACATGGGAACTGCGTGGTTATGTAGGCCTTTGTGAACTCTAGTGAGTTATTAACTGGTAATATTTAATGTTATCCTCATTAATACCATGAAATAGGATAAGAGAAAGTCGACCTATCGAGGTATCAACACAATGCTGATGTGACGCCGGGCAGAAGCCCGGGGCGCGTCACAAGGCCTGTTTACTAATAAACATGTCCAAAATAGAACATCAAAACAAAACTTGAGATGACTTGGCGTGCATCGACAATCTGGTGTCGATGCCTGTCATGCTTCTGGTACCTCCCTTCCCACTCGAGTTGCCATCAAAAGGGCCGCCGTCTCACAATTCCTACACACTCAAGCGGTCGAAAAACACGGAGTTGACGGCTACTATCCTGTTACGGGTGAGGGATGAAAATGTGATGGGGGCCGACTCTAAGTTACATTCGTGTGACTGCAGGTGATCTCGCCCGGCGCAGGCGCGGGAAAGATCATGTGGATCAAGAAACAACCGGGTCACGCAGACTTATTGTGCGACCAGGCACGGGGCAACCCACGAGTGGCTGGGGTGGAATGGTATCGTCTGGAGATTCAGATAGGACGGCTATGAAACAGAGAATGATTACAGCTAACTGGAAGAACCCCGTTATCTCAACGGCCAGCTACCGTGCTTGGCTCTCCCCTGATGACGTTCAAATGTGTCAACCCTCCGCTCTTGGCCACTCGTTCAGTTTGAGAAACGCTCCTTTAACGCCGTTTCCTGGACGGCCTCATATTGGTGCAACCCCTTTTTGGAGGTTTGACAGCGTGCCGATAGTTGGAAAAGTGGAAGTTCGCGGGCCTTAACCCTCAGGGCGGACAGCGGATACCAACAAACAGGGCGCGGCTGGCTTGGATACGTCTCCGTGAAGTCTCGTTGGGACGATCGGGCTCGTGAGCGAGAGGAAGGGAGGGGGTTGGCGTGGTAATTGAATCATTGGATGAGGTGCGTCCATAGGTATTCTTACAGAGCGGCGGACATCGGGGTGCGTCCCGTCCAACCATGTACTAGGGGGTTAACTCGGCTATTAATCATTGCTAACTTTCATTCTGCAAAACGGCATGGTTTCCTACCCTCCAACCGGTCGATTATATTTGGGTGGTTGGTGCATCAACAGCTTCATGTTGCTCGGAGGTGGGCGGATTAGGGGACGTACCGGTCGGTAACACGGTTGTTAGCACCACATATATGCTCGACGCCAAAAAGTGTGCGTTAGTGGAACCATGAAATCGGCGGCCAGGGAATCCTATCGCTGCTGGCGCTGCCAAGAGCAAGAGTAAACTCTGCTGCTTGAATCTCACACAGAGCGAGACGAGGAACGGGGCCGCATATCGCAACCGGGGGGGGGGAAGCATCCGGGCGGGTGTGCAAATAATCCATGCTCCTGGTGGATTGTTCTCTCCGGGCCCCGAGCGGCAAGGGATTGGGTGGGACTCCGAAGTACGCCGGCTCAGAAGGATGACTGCCTTTCGCCCCTGCCGAGGTGCTCCCCAAACTCGCTCTGAGGCTTGGCAGTATTCTCAGTTGGACGCCAGAACAAAGACAAGTACGCCCTACTCATGCCGAGAAAGTACCAACTTTGTGCGGCCTTATGACCCGAAGAAAACCAGTGGGTGTTGGGAGGAACATTTAAGTTTAATAAAGCTGTCACCTGGTCTTCACTACCAGTTTACTATCACACAAATGTCCTGTCCACTCCACAACACTCCATCATGAGTCTCTGTCGGGCATCCTCAGTGTAGCTCGGCTTGCTCAGGCGGGCTCCCAAACGTGACCGTGCCGACTCCGTTGACATGAACGTCATCGGCCGCTTAAAGCCAGTGCCAGTTGTTACCCCAACCATATCCGAGTCTGCAGTACGCCCGAGCCGGGGACCCAGCAGGGCAATACACCGGAAGCCCCTCCGTGCTTGTTTCGGGGTTGAGCATTGCCCGGGCTAATAGGGGTCAATATGATCATGTCGGCAAGGTGTGGGCGACAGACACTTACAAGATATAAGGGCGATGGGGATGATCACGGGCCCGACTGTAATGCCGGGAGCTGTCTCGACCCATACACCTAGTGCTGCTTCGGCCCATGATCCCATTCCTCGCATGAGGCCTTCGGCACTGGCGGCTTCGAATTCACCGGCTGAGGATATCCACCGAAGTTTATTAGCCTGACGAAACTGGTCCAGCTCAAGAGGATACTAACAGCACTAGCACCAACATAGGGACAACTCACACATGTTTAACAAGTGATGATGATGATAGAGAAGTTGCCGCGGCGTCTGATGTGGCAGCTTATGGCAGGAGAAGAGATGCGGAGGACGAGGGAAAGAAGAGGAGCGACTTGACCCTCTTTATAGACGAGGCTAGGCAAGCCGTCGACCGTTTGAGAATGACCCACCCGACACCGCTCTGATCAGCCAACGGGATGTTCGGGGCGTTGATAAAAAGCATCGATGATCCAGCATGCATACTCCTCCCACATGGGATTGCCGGGGACCCATCACGGTGGTGGGTGGGGGACTCAGACCTTTTTCCCACCCCCTGGGGCGAAGACGATTCGTTGGTGGTGATCAAGGCCCGTTAGGCAAGCATCCATTGGGTAAGAATCTCAGTCTCTTAAGCCCATCGCAGCCCCATGAAAGTTCGAGATGGACGATGGGTGGGAGGCGGCGAGGAGCTGCAGGTCACGATGTGTTGTACAAAGGAGGCCAGGTCGGCCAGGACTTGGGAGTGGCAGGGGTTTAACACGTCAAGCCGGACCGCTGCGACGAAACGAGGAGTACCGGTGGCCTTGGGATAAGCGGGGACGCGGCGTCGCTCTATCATACGAGGATAGTAGACGAGGGAGGTGAAAGCAGGGGAGAGGGATGTTGGGAAGGTGAGGGCCTTCAAAACCGGGGGTCGAATCGGAAGCATTGACTGCCGCCGGGGGGGGGGGGGTGTTGCAAAAGTGCAACGCACTCCACCTCGAAAAAGGTGCTTGAGTGAGGGCCCTTTTATTTCTGAAAGGAAAGGCAGTCGTGGGCTCCTGGGAGTTTTCTGCAAAAACAGGCGCAGCAAGGAACGCCACCTCGAACAACCCAATCATCCACTAGCACAAGCCACTCAGTGGAAGTGGGGCAAACTCAGACCCTGAACAAACTGTCAGAGCACTTTCGTCCGAGTGTGTCACTGTCTGGTGTTGAGAGGTCGCAGTGATACCTCGCCCTGCTTGTTCCAGTCAGATATTCTTTTTTTGACCATGACGGCTTCCTGATATATCGCTAAGTTCTAACATCCAGCATGCGGCGCGCCTGTGTTACCGTAAGCCAAGGTGAGTTGCTGGCACCTTCTCGCGCGTCCTTGTGTGTCGGTCGGTGCACGTCTCCATGATTGGCCCAGTGGCTTGAAGAAGGCCCTGAGGCAGGGGTCGAAGGAGCCGCGCAGAAAAGGAAACGAAAGCCAAAAAACACACGGTGTGCGTCATGGGCGAGGAAAGGTTGTGCACTCAGCTCAGGTGAGCCGAGGAAACGTGGATTGCGGTTTATTATCTCCAAATAATCCCATGTCTCACACGGTTCAGCACTACTTGTATGTAAGACAACTGCCCAAAGGAGGCGCCGATGCAGTTGGCAACCCAACTGCGCACGGTTTTGTTCCTTTTTTTGAACGGGCCTCTCGTCATTCGTTTGTGTTGAGCAAGAATGACAGAGGGAAAATAGAACGCCCCACTGCCGAGACTCACATTTTTACACTGAAGAAACTGTAACATGGTAAAACAAGGAACTAGTAATTATATTCTGAATCAGAGTTCTCTCTGACCAACATCGACCGCATGATAAGGTTAATAATTAGGCACCTGACCCAAGCTTGGAAAGAAAGCTCTGGTTCTCGCTTCCTCTTTCGTTGTTTTCTGTCCGGATCCATCATCCCCCTCAACACCGCCCTCAAGGGTGTCACCGTCGGCGGTGTCACCAGCGGTCAGGCCTAGTGTTTCTCCTATTGCGATTGCCAGGTATAACACCACACCCTCCACTGACTGACCTTAGCAGTCATATCCCCGACTCTGGGACGCGAGTCAGCCACCAACCATCACTAACTAGATGCTGCCACCCGTCCCAGCCGGGCCAGCGCCGCGTCCCGCTCCGCCGTCACCGCAGCGAGCTGCTGCTGGAGCTCGCGGACCCAAGCCAGCAGCTTCCGCTCGAACTGGTAGTCCGGCCGCACCGACTTGTCGCAATGCTCGGGCGGCGGGTCAAAGTCTTCCGCCCATTCATCTTGCCATGACTTGACCGCCAGCTTCGTGCTGGCGGGGTCTGTTGTCGGGCGGTGGAAGGTCGCCGGTTTGCTAATAGCCGGCTCCGTGGCAGTGACGGCACAGGATTCGGTGGGAGGATCGGGAGAGGAGACGCAAAGGGAGCAGTGTGGGCTGGAGGCCGCACTCGCCACGGCTGTCATTGTGGTGGGCGACTTGGGGCGCCGCGGCTGCGCGTTGGTGGACTTTTTTTTGTAAGCCTTTTCGACGCGGGCAGGGTTGGTAAAGGCCGGAGTTTTCGGCCTGCTGCGGGTGCCGGATGGCGCTCGTTTCGGCGCCATTGTGTTGGATGCTTCAAGTTGCTTATATACCTCTGATTTACTTTGTCTTGCTTGGTTGCGGCACTATGTGGGTTACAGGGACGCTTGTTGCCAAGCGAGGGGGGGATTACACTCAGCGGAAGAGAGAAGGCGGGAGGGGCGTCGCGGTTTCAAGTAGGAATTCGAGTCGAATGAACAAAGGGCGAGCTGGCATGGGTTTTCTGTTCTGTTCCGAAAACAGGGGGATTATGGAAGTACAAGGGGCATCTGCCGATTCGCGCGTCGGGGTTCGTTGGAAGAGAACATTGGCGGGGCTGAACAAAGCTGTGCTGAATTGGAGGGATTGAATCTGAAGAGATCAATTCTGTTGATCCTTATGCGGCAAAGGCAGGTACCTAGGTGGGTGACACGCTCCTACGCCGTCCAATTAAGTAAGGTAGGTATGTAGCCAAAAGCAACTTGGGACAATGCAGAAGGTCAGGTAGCTAGGTAGGTAGGTAGTAATTATAGCTCCCGGCTCAATGGCAGTCATGTCATGGTGCTTGCGACTGTTAAAACATTGGGCCAGCCAAGTTTATGTATTTTCCCTCTACGGTCTACCTGCCAACATAGGTTAAGGTACCTACCTGACCTAGGTAGGTACCTATCGTAGAACGTCCACACAGAACCCCCCAACAACCCCCTCTCATCTTCCCCAGTCTCTGACCAGCAGAGTTCGCTATTCCCCCGCGCCCCTACACCAATCCCTCGTCCCTCTCACCGATCCGACCAGCAGATCCGGTTTCTTTGCCAAAGCCCAACCCAACGCCCGCTAACAAATCCCAACGCTAACGGCGAATCCAGCGCCATCTCCCAATGACAATCTTCCCTGCCCTTCAACCCCCACCCGTCCCGTCTCTCTCCAACACGTCATGCTGCGCAGGCGTGAGACACCAATCGAAAGGTCGAGATGTTTCGCCTTAAGAGCGTCGCGTATTCGAAGACTTGCGTGGGGCGCTGCTGCCGCTGCTACTATTTCTAGTGCTGCTGCCCGGTGCTGTAACTAGTGGCAGGCTTGGAGGAGCTGGTGGCCTCCCTGATGGCCAATCTGGTGGTGTTGCCAGTCGCTGGAAGGCCAGAGATATAAAGCCCACAGGGCCAGGCGATGCCAACAGGGTCATCAGAGCAAGGTCTCCCGCAACGCAAATCTCAACAACGCAATCAAACAAATTCAACGCAAATCAACGCAAATCGACCTCTAATTTAGCCAAATAACTTGTTCGATTTGCGTTGCTTGATTTGATAGATTTGCCAAGCTGTGTAGAGGAAAAATGCCCTACAAAATGCTCTGCAAAACGCCCCCAACCGCCACAACAGCCACATCCAACCCTACCCTGTGTAACCGCTGGGCGCCCAGAGGCGCCCACAACAGGTGGATTGAGCCTCCGTTTACAGACGACAGTCGCATCGCCACTTTTACCAGCCAACCAGCCAGCCAGTTTACAATTGCGTAGTCAGAAAAAAACACGATTTGAAAGATCTGAATTTTATTGCGTTTTTGAGCGATTCAGCAGATTGTAAGATCGTTTAATTTGACTGCGTTTTGACTCGGATGGATTGATAGATCTGATGGCTGTAAGTCAGGAAGATCGAGAGGGGGTTGTGGGGGTTAGGGTTATATATGGGATTTGATTTGACCCAAGGCAAATAAATTCAAACAAGTCAAATTTGGCCAACTCTGGGCCAAATGAAAGCCTTCATATTTGGTTTGTTTGCGTTGCGGGAGACCTTGCATCAAAGGGCCACCAGGGAGTTGGCTGCGAATTTGACCAATTAGAACGGTAGAATTTGCGGGGCGATGTCGCAACCGTAGTTGTGGGAGCAACCATTATTTAAAGAACAACCGTTGTTTTGCAATCTACGGTTGTTGCCCCCTGCATTTTCCCGCTACGGTAATCTGCCGGGCCACGTTCAGCGGGGCGGGCGGGTTCGTCGTTTTCGTGTCTGTTTTGCCCCGTTACACCATGTCTGAACACTCTCGCTCCAAATGCGGGCATTCTGCGGCCCGAAAGACGTGCAGAATTTATGCATGGAAATGATGTTGCAGTTTGGCAGAAATACCTCGTTACCCGGTGGTCAGGTGATCTTAGCTCAACTCCACCTCTCCTGCGGAGAGGTGGCGCCAATATTCCCGGACATCGCAAAATACCCGGACAAACCCCCATAGAAATCTTAGTATAATTGTATCTTCCTATACTAAATTGACTATCTTGATTAACCACTATATAACGAATCTTTACTCGATTTTATTGAAAATTGATAGAATTGTTTAGAAGGCTCTGAAACGTTTAAAAATGTAATAAAAATTGAGATCTGAGAGCTTGTTTTTATTCAAAAAGTAGGTTATCCTCCCCCTCAGATTCGACCTCCTAGCTCCCCTGAACAGATTTGCCGGTATCGCTAGTATCACCGCCTTTACTATCGCTAGTATTAGTTAGATTAACTATATCGCTAGTATTAGAAAGGATACTATCTCTATTGTTACTACCCTCCTAATTGTTCTTAGCTATAGTATTGAGGTACTGCTTCTTCTTTATATTAAACCTTTATAGTATATTAAGGATAACAGTTACTGGTACCTTTCTTTTGCCCTATATTTATAATAGCGACTATTGGACTTCGAGATTATTATTATTGCTATTACTATTGTCTTTGTTAGATAATAGCAATATAACTATACCGTTACTAAGCTATATTCTATATACTTCTAGCAGTAGTAGTATAAGCTCTAATAACAGCCTTACCATTAACTTTAGAATCTTAGGTACTTTACTATCTATATTAATAAACTATCTTAATACTTCTAGCTTAAGCTATAGAGGAGGATATGTCACGGATTAGGCCCAACGCGGTCTTGGCCTGCGGGATGCGGGACGTCCCGGCCAATCATTTAAGGGTCCAACGGCCAATCGTTGCGACAAGTGAAAGCGCTCCCGACGCTCCCTCTCGAGGAAGGGAGCACGGGGAGCACTCGCCGCACTCACTGCTCACGACGCTCCCATCGCTCCTCGGGAGCATAGGGAGCAGAGGGATCAACACGTTAGATAGCAGTATATAGTCACTCGTTCTGGAGAGCTCTGGGAGTTCTCCAGTTAGCAATCACAACTACAGTTCGCTACAAGCTCGAGAGCCTACTGTTGAGACAAGTCTTTGTTGTGCACCCTTTGGCTGCACCGAACCTAAGCACCCTTGAGAGAATACCTTCGACCGATACTGAACCCTAACAGGACGGGTCCAGAGACAGGTTCGTCACAGTAACTAATTATAAGTAATATATTTAAGGTATTAGCTTAAGTTAGAAGGGGAGGCTTTATAAGGGAATTTATAGTTCTTATAATAAGAGTAAGGATACTTTACTAGAATAGAAGAGTTAAATATTACCGTTAGAAGCTAATTATAATTAATAGTTTTAGAGTAAGAGGTAATAGATTTCAGTATTATTTTTATTATATAAAATAATATAATATTAGCCAATATATATAATAGAAAGAGAGAAGGAGCTATATATCTAGAAATAGATTATTAATACTATTTAAAAATAGGAAGGTTAGTAAATCTTCTAGAATAGAAGATATAGAGAAAGGGTATTATATTATAGATATAGTTATATATAAATAACCTAATAGGATATACTAGCAGTACCCTAAGCTAATTAGTAAGGAAGGGCCTCCTCTAATAGAAACTAGATTATAAGCTTTAAACGTAATCTAGGGGTAACCAATTAGGAGTAGATTATTAGATCGAGAAGTGATCTAATAATCTAGAATGGATTATAGGATTATAAGAATATTCTTCGATCTAGGTACGGAGATACCTAGGGATCTATACAGTATATAGTTACTCGTTCTAGAGAGCTCTAGGAGTTCTCTAGTTAGTAATTATAACTATAGTTTGCTATAAGCTCGAGAGTCTACTATTAAGATAAGTCTTTATTGTATACCCTTTAGCTATACCGAACCTAAGTACCCTTGAAAGATTACCTTTAACTGATACTAAACCCTAATAGGATGGGTCTAGAGATAGGTTTGTTATAGCTAGCTGCCTTACTACCCTCTCTTCTAAGAAGAACTGGGGGTATACTGTTAAGCTATCGGGAGATATAATGATAAGTATTAGTATTAAGAAGATTTGCTATATATAAGAGGTCTGAGATTAAGAGTATATAAATACCTTTAAGGGAGATAGTTTAAAGGCTATTAACGGTATTATTAAAGATATAATTAAAACCTTTAAAGCTAAATATAAAGTATAGAAATATCTTAACGAAAATAAGATATTTATATAGGGTAGTTAGTAGGTATAAATAAAGATCTTTAAAGAATTTATCTATAATATAAATAAAGTTAACTATCTTCTATTCGATTTACAGTATCCTGTGACGAACCTGTCTCTGGACCCGTCCTGTTAGGGTTCAGTATCGGTCGAAGGTATTCTCTCAAGGGTGCTTAGGTTCGGTGCAGCCAAAGGGTGCACAACAAAGACTTGTCTCAACAGTAGGCTCTCGAGCTTGTAGCGAACTGTAGTTGTGATTGCTAACTGGAGAACTCCCAGAGCTCTCCAGAACGAGTGACTATATACTGCTATCTAACGTGTTGATCCCTCTGCTCCCTATGCTCCCGAGGAGCGATGGGAGCGTCGTGAGCAGTGAGTGCGGCGAGTGCTCCCCGTGCTCCCTTCCTCGAGAGGGAGCGTCGGGAGCGCTTTCACTTGTCGCAACGATTGGCCGTTGGACCCTTAAATGATTGGCCGGGACGTCCCGCATCCCGCAGGCCAAGACCGCGTTGGGCCTAATCCGTGACACGATGCCCCTCCTCCGCGGTCGACGTCCCGACGACCTTATTCCCTTCCGTGGTTTTTGTCATAAGGAGCCGGCTAGTCCTCCTCCCTTCGTCCTGGGGTGGGTGTCTCCCTTCTTTCTGCGCCTCTACCCATCATGCCTCCTAACCGTGTGCGAAAGAAACGATCGCAGAAATCCAGTACTGATCGCCGCCGCGATCGCGCATCCGCCCGAGACGAGTTTGCCGTTGAAATGGCCCGTTGTTCTCGTTGCAAAGAAAAGAACATTCCTGATTGCCGCGTGCCTCCTGAGGACGACGTCTGCACCGCATGCGCCAAGGTGCACAATAACAATTGTGACTCCTTCGGTTACGATAGTTCCGCCTTCCAACGCTTGGTCCTGCAGAAACGTCAACTGGACAAGGAGCGTCAAGAGGCCGATCAGGCCCTAGGCGCCGCCCTCGCGCGGGTTGACCGCTTGCGCCGTCAACACCAGTCCTTGGAGGATCAGGCACGCCGGATGTTTGACCAGGAGGGGAGGGTGCTGGAGGAGCAAGAGCGCCGCGAGGCTGCCGTCGCGCAGCCGTCTTCGAGTGCCGTTGTCGCTTCTCCCCTGGGTCCTTCCTGGGGTCAAAGGTGTGCCCCCTCTCTCTCCTGCTTCTTCTCGTCCT